GTATGGCGCACTTTTTGATTGGTCCAGCGGATGCTGAGCTACACTCACTAAAACTGGGAAAAAATTTTCGAAAAAAAAAATTTGCCAGATAATGACTCGGGCATAATGTCAAAAAATTGAGCAAAAAGTTCCGAACAAAAAATGTATGGCGCACTTTTTGATTGGTCCAGCGGATGCTGAGCTACACTCAGATAAATTTTTAAAAAATTTTGAAAAATTAAATTTTCAAGATAATTGATCGGGAATACCGCCAAAGTCTTAACCCGGGAGTCTCGAACAAAAAATATATGGCGCACTTTCTGATTGGTCCAGCGGATGCTGAGCTACACTCAGATAAATTTTTTAAAAAATTTCGAAAAATTAAATTTGCGAGATAATTAATCGGGAATACGGCCAAAGTCTTAACCCGGGAGTCTCGAACAAAAAATGTATGGCGCACTTTTTGATTGGTCCAGCGGATGCTGAGCTACACTCAGATAAATTTTTTAAAAAATTTTGAAAAATTAAATTTTCGAGATAATTGATCGGGAATACCGCCAAAGTCTTAACCCGGGAGTTTCGAACAAAAAATGTATGGCGCACTTTTTGATTGGTCCAGCGGATGCTGAGCTACACTCAGATAAATTTTTTAAAAAATTTTGAAAAATTAAATTTGCAAGATAATTAATCGGGAATACGGCCAAAGTCTTAACCCGGGAGTCTCGAACAAAAAATGTATGGCGCACTTTTTGATTGGTCCAGCGGATGCTGAGCTACACTCACTAAAACTGGGAAAAAATTTTCGAAAAAAAAAATTTGTCAGATAATGACTCGGGAATAATGTCAAAAAATTGAGCAAAAAGTCTCGAACAAAAAATGTATGGCGCACATTTTGATTGGTCCAGCGGATGCTGAGCTACACTCACTAAAACTGGGAAAAAATTTAAAAAAAAAAAAATTTGCCAGATAATGACTCGGGAATAATGACAAAAAATTAAGCAAAAAGTCTCGAACCAAAAATGTATTGCGCACTTTTTGATTGGTCCAGCGGATGCTGAGCTACACATACTAAAACTGGGAAAAAATTTTCGAAAAAAAAAATTTGCCAGATAATGACTCGGGAATAATGCCAAAGTCTTTAGCAAAAAGTAGCGAACAAAAAATGTACGGCGCACTTTTTGATTGGTCCAGCGGATGCTGAGCTACACTAGAAAACAAATTTGGAAAAATTTAGAAAAATTAAATTTTCGAGATAACTTCTCCGGAATACCATAAATAAAATAGTCAAAAAGTTCCGAACAAAAAATGTATGGCGCACTTTTTGATTGGTCCAGCGGATGCTGAGCTACACTAGAAAACAAATTTGGAAAAATTTAGAAAAATTAAATTTTCGAGATAACTTCTCCGGAATACCATAAATAAAATAGTCAAAAAGTTCCGAACAAAAAATGTATGGCGCACTTTTTGATTGGTCCAGCGGATGCTGAGCTACACTCACTAAAACTGGGAAAAAAGTTTTGAAAAAAAAAATTTGCCAGATAATGACTCGGGAATAATGCCAAAAAATTAAGCAAAAAGTCTCGAACAAAAAATGTATGGCGCACTTTTTAATTGGTCCAGCGGATGCTGAGCTACACTAAGATAAATTTTTTAAAAAATTTCGAAAATATTAAATTTGCGAGATAATTAATCGGGAATACGGCCAAAGTCTTAACCCGGGAGTCTCGAACAAAAAATGTATGGCGCACTTTTTGATTGGTCCAGCGGATGCTGAGCTACACTCAGATAAATTTTTTAAAAAATTTCGAAAAATTAAATTTGCGAGATAATTGATCGGGAATACCGCCAAAGTCTTAACCCGGGAGTCTCGAACAAAAAATGTATGGCGCACTTTTAGATTGGTCCAGCGGATGCTGAGCTACACTCACTAAAACTGGGAAAAAATTTTCGAAAAAAAAAATTTGCCAGATAATGACTCGGGAATAATGTCAAAAAAATGAGCAAAAAGTCTCGAACAAAAAATGTATGGCGCACTTTTTGATTGGTCCAGCGGATGCTGAGCTACACTCACTAAAACTGGGAAAAAATTTTCGAAAAAAAAATTTTCCTTGATAATGACTCGTGAATAATGTCAAAAAATTGAGCAAAAAGTCTCCAACAAAAAATGTATGGCGCACATTTTGATTGGTCCAGCGGATGCTGAGCTACACTCACTAAAACTGGGAAAAAATTTTTGAAAAAAAAATTTGCCAGATAATGACTCGGGAATAATGCCAAAAAATTAAGCAAAAAGTCTCGAACAAAAAATGTATGGCGCACTTTTTGATTGGTCCAGCGGATGCTGAGCTACACATACTAAAACTGGGAAAAAATTTTCGAAAAAAAAAATTTGCCAGATAATGACTCGGGAATAATGCCAAAGTCTTTAGCAAAAAGTAGCTAACAAAAAATGTACGGCGCACTTTTTGATTGGTCCAGCGGATGCTGAGCTACACTAGAAAACAAATTTGGGAAAAATTTAGAAAAATTAAATTTGCGAGATAATCGTTCCGGAATACCGCCAATAAAATAGGGAAAAAGTCTCGAACAAAAAATGTATGGCGCACTTTTTAATTGGTCCAGCGGATGCTGAGCTACACTAAGATAAATTTTTTAAAAAATTTCGAAAATATTAAATTTGCGAGATAATTAATCGGGAATACGGCCAAAGTCTTAACCCGGGAGTCTCGAACAAAAAATGTATGGCGCACTTTTTGATTGGTCCAGCGGATGCTGAGCTACACTCAGATAAATTTTTTAAAAAATTTCGAAAAATTAAATTTGCGAGATAATTGATCGGGAATACCGCCAAAGTCTTAACCCGGGAGTCTCGAACAAAAAATGTATGGCGCACTTTTAGATTGGTCCAGCGGATGCTGAGCTACACTCACTAAAACTGGGAAAAAATTTTCGAAAAAAAAAATTTGCCAGATAATGACTCGTGAATAATGTCAAAAAAATGAGCAAAAAGTCTCGAACAAAAAATGTATGGCGCACTTTTTGATTGGTCCAGCGGATGCTGAGCTACACATACTAAAACTGGGAAAAAATTTTCGAAAAAAAAAATTTGCCAGATAATGACTCGGGAATAATGCCAAAGTCTTTAGCAAAAAGTAGCTAACAAAAAATGTACGGCGCACTTTTTGATTGGTCCAGCGGATGCTGAGCTACACTAGAAAACAAATTTGGGAAAAATTTAGAAAAATTAAATTTGCGAGATAATCGTTCCGGAATACCGCCAATAAAATAGGGAAAAAGTTTCGAACAAAAAATGTATGGCGCACTTTTAGATTGGTCCAGCGGATGCTGATCTACACTCAAATAAATTTATGAAAAATTTTCGAAAAATTAAATTTTCGAGATAATCTTTCGGGAATACCGCTATAGTGATTAGAAGAAAGTTCTGAACAAAAAATGTATGGCGCACTTTTTGATTGGTCCAGCGGATGCTGATCTACACTCATAAAATCGTGGGAAAAATTTTCGGAAAATTAAATTCGCGAGATAATCGTTCGGGAATACCACCAATAAAATAGGGAAAAAGTTTTGAACAAAAAATGTATGGCGCACTTTTTGATTGGTCCAGCGGATGCTGAGCTACACTTCAAAACGTTTTGGAAAAATTTTCAAAAAATTAAATTCGCTAGATAATCTTTTGGGAATACCGCTATAGTGATTAGAAGAAAGTTCTGAACAAAAAATGTATGGCGCACTTTTTGATTGGTCCAGCGGAGGCTGAGCTACACTACAAAACATTTTGGAAAAATTTTCAAAAAATTAAATTCGCTAGATAATCTTTCGGGAATACCGCTATAGAGATTAGAAGAAAGTTCTGAACAAAAAATGTATGGCGCACTTCTTGATTGGTCCAGCGGATGCTGGGCTACAATCAAATAAATTTTCGAAAAATTAAATTTTCGAGATAACTTCTCCGGAATACCATAAAAAAATAGTCAAAAATTCCGAACAAGAAATGTATGGCGCACATTTTGATTGGTCCAACGGATGCTGATCTACACTCATAAAATCGTGAGAAAAATTTTCGGAAAATTAAATTCGCGAGATAATCGTTCGGGAATATTACCAATAAATTGAGCAAAAAGTCTCGAACAAAAAATGTATTGCTCACTTTTTGATTGGTTCAGCGGATGCTGAGCTACACTCAATAATAATTTTGAAAAATTTTCAAAAAATTAAATTCGCTAGATAATCGTTCGGGAATACCGCTATAGTGATTAGAAGAAAGTTCTGAACGAAAAATGTATGGCGCACTTTTTGATTGGTCCAGCGGATGCTGAGCTACACTCAAAAACATTTTGGAAAAATTTTCGAAAAATTAAATTTTGCGAGATAATTGCACGGGAATACCACCAAAAACAAGTTGTAAATTCAGATGTTCATTACATGAACATTTTGCTTCCTCTTTACGATCAGGAAGAAATTTGCTTCCTCGTGGAGAAAGCAAAGTTTATTGCCAAAATGTGAATTTTTGATTTTTTAACTTTCATTAATTCTTTAAATTTACCTCAAATGTATACTTTATATATATCTATCGATTCATCTTGACGTAAGGAATACGATTTTATTATATATAACCTTAAATTTTTCTATTTAAAAATTTTTTCGATTAAAAAAAATTTTTTTAAAAAAAGACGATAAAATTTTTTTTTGGGGGTATTTTTCCAAATCCTTTGGTCAGATTTGAGATATTAATATGATAAATGAGCGTACCAAATTTTATCTAAATCCATTAAAACCGGTTGAAGTTATCTTCTAAACAAAAAAGGGATCCACACACACATATATACACACATACATACATCCGGACAATTGATCAGGATCTCATATAACATGTTTCTATAAAGAAAAAAGTTTGTTTCCACCACTTGGAAAAGTTTTATAAACGAAAGGACTACAAAGCTTCCTCCACGAGGAAGCAAAAGCATATAATTCTACGCATCTGTAATAAAAAAACATTACTCTTATTTTCAAATATTTGTATCCAAGTTTATTAACAATTAAATATTAACAGTTATCGTAAATGTATACATAGTGATAGAAATCTAATAAAATATGTTTTTAATTTTATAAAAAAAAAAATTGATTGCAATATTCTAAACTTAATAAAAATTATAATGCTGTATAATAAATATTATTTCTTTAGAAATAGAAATATGACTTTTAAAAATTTAACATTATGCAAATTTATTCTAAAGAAAGAGTTGATATTATACTCGTATTCGAATCATTATTTGTCATTGTATCGCTTGTAACCATTTTGGATTTCATTTCAAAAATCAAATGTCTAATTCCAGGAAGCCAAGAAGAACAAGAAGAACCTCGTTCCATCATTAATGAAATATGAATTTTATCTGCTTTCTCAATGTCTTCTGCAATGAGAGCTAAAAAATAAAATAAATTAACTTTAACATTAATCATAACAATTATTTAAATTAATATTAGCCTCTTACTTCAATTTTACTAACCTTTTATTAAGTCTACAACTGTTTTGTGAATATCAACATCTAAGTTTTTATCATGCAATAAATTTTTCATAATTTCTATTCTCTTTTTGATATTTTGTGATTTACTCTCAGAATGCAAATGCTTTTCTAAAAGAACTTCTAAATTTGCTAATAATTCTTTTAGTGAGTCTTGTTGATGAATTAATGAATTAGAATCTTGTTCTTCTTGATCTCCTTTACTCGATTCTGGCACAAGAGTATTGTTTATTTTCTCTTGGCAAGAAAGTGGAGGCGGAAGATTTGATGGAATAGAAACTGGAGTTTGACTTGGAAGATTTGAAGTATTTACTGTTGAATTTAATGGAAATGCAACTCGTTTGTTTAATAGTCTCTTTGTCGGTGTTGTACAAGAAGTTTTCGTTGCATTAAACATACGTTTTGGTGGATCATTCCATCCTGCATCGTGACAGGATGATAAAGATTTTTGAGTTGATTTTATACTTATGTCTAAAATATAAACGTAAATAATTAATAAAAGTTTAAAATCAATAAGTAAGCTTTTAATATTTGAATATTTTTTAAATATAAAAAGTATTGTATATAAACAAAAATATTAACTTAACCTTCTGGTTCTGACATTTCTTTAAAACGACGATTCTTTGATAATTTGTAGATTAAAAAATTTTATTACACACTTTTCGTTGAACTCACAGTAGCAAAGTAATTAAATTTTCATTAATTAAAACAAAAAAATAAAAATATGGAAATGTATATACACAAAGCACTCAGCTGTTGTGAAATTTTGGTTAGGAATTTAAATGACGCCACCGTGTTCATTATCCGAACTAAATCAATTATTCTAATCTACTATCGATAATGTAGAAAATTATCACGAAATCTTTCTTCTCGTCAGTTAAAAATTCTCAGTTTACATAGTTCACTCGGTGCGTAAAATACGTAATGATAATTTTTCCCCTAACATATTTTACGCAATATATCAGGTTTAAAATTGTAAAATATTTGATTTATTTAAAATATATACCGACTTGTAACTCGGGGATATGAGGGGTGGGGTTTAAAACGAGGTACAAAATTAGGTAAAAAATTTAACGTAAATGAAATTAATTAATCAAACAATAAATAAAAAAAAACTACTCACCGATCGCTGAATCCATCCATCGATGCAACAGATTTTCCTCCAAATTAATTGTAATATCCTCGGAAACATCAATCAGGAAGGTGATATTATTTGGTTCGAAAATCCTTGATGAACGGTACCAGACACTTTTCTTATAGCACAAACACTTAACATAAACCATTTTTTGCCCGCAGAAAAAAGGAAATAATCCTATGATACTGAAAACCGATCACTCCCAAAAATTAATTATCGTGAATTTACCATGATATATTTTAAACTCACTTAACCTTCGATTTTGCACATTTCCAAAATTAATTACCGCGAACCAACCACGATATATTTTAAACTCACATAACCTTAGATTTTGCACTCTTCCAAAATACACACGATGAACGGTTTAAAAGAACGCGATCACTTCGATAAAAAATAAATAATTAAACACAATGGCACAATATAAAAGATAGGATTGAAAATAACCGTTTGAAAAAAGTTTTACTTCCCCTACTCTTTAACTCTACTTGCTCCATTGGCGGACTAACTGCGACTGAAGCGCCGCACTGTGTCGTCCCCATCCAACAAGTGTAAACCGCTTTCTGATTGGCCAACAACAGCAGACGAATCATAGGGAGATATCACTCTGCAACAGCAAGTGATTGGCTACTGTCAAAAAAGCGCAAACTTTTTAAATATTTGAAAAATAAAAAAATCTCAATTGACTTATCATTTTCAATTGAAACTTAAATGGAAAATAAATAAATATTAAATGTTTAAATAATAAAGAAAATAGAGGGAAAAGAGACTTCTCATTTAAATTATATACGGAAAAACATACGAAACATACGTAAAAATTTCTCTTCTGATCTTTAATGACCTTCCATACCCTGCTCAAAATAAAATAACCTTAAATATAGAAATTTCCAAATGCCATATCACATGAGAATCATTAATTTTAAATTTCTATTACTAAACAACATAAACTACGAATTCTTTTTTTCGAAATTGTGTTAAAATTATTGTTTAAATTTTAAGGTTATAATGTGCAATATTGACATGACAACAATAACAACAGTTATTATTTGTCATGTATGCACTTGTGTAAGAGAATGTCGTACAGAATTATTTACATATATATGAATATACACGTGCAAAGTGAAGATTCCTGAGTGAAACGTGGTCCAAAAAGCAAAAATCATTCGTTAATAAAAATAGATCTTAATTTTACTGAAATAATTGAGTCGCATTAGCATTTTAGACTGCGGTACACGTCGTTCTTATGTCACAGGTAATTTTTATCTCTCATTTCTCTAAATAATCTTTAATTAATTTTCATTTAAAATTAAGCTTATCTATTCTTTGTCATTTTTATTTTCAACATGTTTTATAATTTCAAGTCTGTTTTTATCAAACTTTAAGAGTGACAAATTTGTCAATATTATTTCTAACCTAAAATAATATACTGTTTATATGAAAACACTTGCTTGTATTTTTTTTAACAAATGTTTTTTTTTGTAAATTTTACATTTGTATGTATTTTTTTCTAGATGATAAAAAATGGTGAAATAAATAAAAGATAATGACAAATAATAGACAAGTATATATATATATATAGTTAAAATATTTTAAATTATTTATTAGAACTATTTAATTAGAACGCAGATATATATGTTTATTATAACGTATAAATATATAAAGTTGTTGCTGAAATATGTTCGAAACCCTACATTTACATAAACCAATTGGCTTTCTTAGTCTTGTTTTTGTTTACCTTAAGATAATTCGCTTAAAATTGTTGTTTATTTGTTTCAAAAAAAATTTTTTTTTTTTTTTTTTGAAAAATATTAATTTTTATGATATTAATTTAATTCTTGATTAAATGAATGAAATTTTCAGATACTAATTTCACAATGCCGGGAAAAATAAAAGTGAGAATATTGTCAGGAAGAAATCTTCCTGTTATGGATCGTTCGAGTGACACAACTGATGCTTATGTGGAAATAAAATTTGGAAATACAACATACAAAACGGATGTTTGTCGAAAATCATTGAATCCACAATGGAATTCAGAATGGTATAGATTTGAAGTTGATGATTCAGAATTACAAGATGAACCGTTACAAATTAAATTAATGGATCATGACACTTATTCAGCGAATGATGCGATTGGTAAAGTTTATGTTAATTTGAATCCTTTACTTTTACCTGGAGTTCCGCCGCCTGTAAAAAATATTTGGACTCTAGAAGCAACAATGAATTCCAGTATTGGAGCTCAAGGAGGTATTGATTTGTTTTTTTTTTTTTAATCTGTATTTCATTGAATTTTTATTAATAATTTTTTTGTAGGATCTGTAATGACTGGTTGGGTTCCGGTATTTGATACAATGCATGGAATTCGTGGAGAAGTGAATATTATCGTTAAAGTTGAATTATTTCTCGATTTTAATAAATTTAGACAATCTTCATGTGGTGTGCAATTTTTTTACTGTGAGTAAAAACTGAAACGTGTATCTTAATTATTAATATGATGAATTTAATTTGTAAATAATTTTTTTTTTTAAATATTTTCAGCGCCTAATATACCGTTCGGTTATCACGCTCAAGTGGTACATGGATTCGTTGAGGAATTAATAGTTAGTGACGACCCGGAATATAAATGGATTGACAAAATACGAACACCAAGAGCATCAAATGAAGCAAGACAAACTTTATTTTTTAAACTCAGTGGAGAAGTTCAGAGAAAAATAGGACTAAAAGCTTTGGATCTTGGAGGAAATGCTGTCATAGGGTTAGTTTCATAAAATATTTCTCTTTTCTTTGAATTAGAAATACTGATTATTTTAAATCGAAAACGAAAATTTAATATAGATATCTACAAAATTTTGATTTGGAAGGAGAATCGGGAATTGTTGCTCGAGGCATTGGAACGGCCGTTACCTTAGTGAAGGTGCAAGAAGTACCAAACGTTTTATCCGAAGGACCGACAGTTGAAGAGTAAGTATTATATTTAATATAATTAAAAAATAAAATTTTAAACCATGTGATAAATATTTCTAAAGTACCGACAATGATTAATTAATTTCTTTTTGTCTTTCCCACCTGCATGGGTTTGATTAGGCTTGCCACATTAGGTTCTAAATTTAAAAAACATGCAGATAATCCTGATTCTGATGATAGTACACCTCTCCTTTCTCATTCTCCTCTTACACCTAACGCTTCACCAACGAATATGTATATGACGCTTATAAATCAAAAATTTCCCTATTATGGACGAACGACTCCGAAAAATCCAAGAACACTGATGAAAGTGATTGATTGTCGAAATCAATTAAAAGATTCATCACGTCCCTTATCATTGCCATACAATGTAAATTCAAAGAAAATGCAAGAATCTAGTTTATCATTGTCGGACGATATTATTGATGAGTCATCAATAAGAAATTTATTGGCATTGGAAGATTTAAGAGGTGAATCCAGTGGAAATAGATTTTCAAGAAGTTTAAAAAATTTGAAATATTTACAGCAAAATGTTCTCTCTAAGAGAGTTAATCAATTTAGATCGAAAATGTCAGAATCATTTGATGAAGAAAGTGATGGTGATAGTATTTCTTCGAGTACATGGTCAATTGGTGGAACTGATTCCACAAGATCATCTGTACTTGATTTACGAAAAAATACAAGAAATAAATCATTTTCACGTTCAAAAAGTGCTAACGATGGAATGGTTGCTCTTCTAATTAAATCAGTTCATACTGGATTTCCAGCATCATTGGATATTGTTAAAGAAGATCGAGAGACTCCAGCACCATCTCCGGTGAAATTTCTAGTTGATGGATCAGATTCAATGAAAATAGATACGGAAAATGTGGAAAAATCATCATCTGACAATACTGAGAAAATTTTTCCAACTCTTGATATCAATGCCATTGATAATAAATATAATCATGATTTTTCAATTCCAATGATTTCGTCTTCCGAAACTGATACTTCATCAGAAGATGATGAACCTTCAGAATCGAGTACAAATTACAATATTCTCGATGACACTTCATCATTAAATGAATTAGTTTTACCCTCACGACGAGTGAGTAATAAAATAAAATCAAAAAAGGGAAATTCTCTTCGTATTGATGAAAAAAATGAATTAACAATTTCGCGAAAAGATTCATTGCAAACTGATGGAAGTACATCCACGGAGCCAACATCGTCAGATGTTGATTCAGATTTTCACGATAAATTCGAAAAACAATCAAGAATATCACCGAACCGGAATGTTAATCAAATTTTACCGCTTGATAACAGTCAAAATAAAATTGACACGTCAAATATAAAATTCGAATTGGAGATACCCTTCAAAAAACTCGAGGAAGATAAGGATTCGTTAAAAAACGAAAGTTTTGATTTAAAAGTAATCGATAATGTAGAAAGAAATAATTTTCAAGAAAATCCCAAATTGAAAGATAGTTTAAATGAACCACTTTTATTTTTTGGTCATCTAGAAAATTCCGAAGAAATTCAAGACGAAATTGATATTTCAAATTTAGCTTCTTTAGAAAACAAACATATTGAAACAATTTCACTTATTGGTCCAGAAGAAATTGAATCATACAACTCGTCACTTTTAAATGACAAAAATTTCGAAACAATTCCAATTATTGATGCGGAAGAAATTGAAGACTATAATTTTCCTCTTTTAGAAATTCAAAATTCCGAATCAATTACAATTATTCGTTCTGCAGAAAATAATTTACCTCTTCTGGAAGATAAAAATACTTCAATTGCAATTGATCAAAAAGAAATTGAAGATAATATTTTCCACAAAAATGACAAAAGCATAGAATGTTATTCGACCAGTGATGATGAAGAAGAAGAAGAAGAAGAAGAAGAAAATGAAGTATTCAATGAACACTTTTTTCAAGAAAACAGAAGTATGGAATCAGTAATTATGCAACCTGAAAAATTTGAGACACGATTTTTGAATGACGAAGAATCAAGTATTAAAATTAGTGAAGTGATCAACGAACCTTTATTCAATAATAAAAATAATGAAACAAATTTAAAAACTGATATATTTGATGAACCATTTTTTCAAGACAAAAACAATCTTCAATTTGGCGAATTTTCTCAAACTTCGAAAATTCTCAACTTGGAATCAAATCAAAAGGATAAAATAAAGAATGAAATTTTTAATGAACCATTTTTTAAAGATAATGAAAATTACGCATTAACGGTATTTCATCAGGAAGATAAACATTTTGGCAAGGACGATATTAAATCTAACAAAAATAAAGAAACTAATGAAGCTTTTAAAAATATTCCCTTTGATTTGAAAAATATTTCTAATTCAAAAACTGATTTCAAGGAACAGGAGAATTTTATTTATTTTGAAAATACAAATGAAGAAAAATCCGAACAGATTAAAAACTCACCTTTACATTTAAATGAATCTTTTTCATTTCCTACATTAGATTTATCCCAGAATAATAATAACGAAAAATTAAAAATCCCAACAAATTTAGTGCAATCAATTATCGACAATGACATTACTAACGATAATCTAAAAATAAAATCAGAAAATCAAATAATGGAGAAAAGAAAATCTCTAAAACGTCAAAATTCACAATACGAGGAAAATAATATTATGGAAAATATTATTCAACATAACGAATCAATTGATACTAAAATTTCTGAATTGCCTCTAGAAAATTCGAATTCATTAAAAAAATTAAATACAAAAAAAGAGTCAGAGGAAAAAAATTCCCGAGGAGTTGAGAGAAGTGACACGGTCATTTATAAAGGACCTCTCGATGAAAAAGGTCGGCCATTGACACCAAAAATAGAAAAAAGACAATCAAAAGAATCCACCACCTCCAATTCAAATTCAAATTCGCCAATTCCAATTTTTGTCGAACATTATTCGGAGAAAACAAACTTTCTTAAAGTTCCTATTGCTCATACATTGGACGTAAATGTGAAAAGTACTTACACAAAAAAAGAAACTGAATTAGCTGAGAATATAATTCAAAAATCTCATCAAGACGATGAATTGAAATATGCGGAAATTTTACGTCATAAATTTCGTAAAAGTTCTATGTTGGACCTAATGAAAATTATCGATACAAAAATGATGGTCCATACATCTCATCATTCATCGTCACACAGAAAGGATTCATTTCGTTGTACAAAAAAGCGACGAGATAAAATATTTAAAAATCTAACACCATCTCCGGATTCAATTCAAAAAATTCGAATTCACAAACGAAGATCAAAATCAAAATCACCGGAAATATCACCCAATGGAAAATTTCCATCAACCTCAACTTTAAATTCCCTTCATACATCACATCATTCAAATCATCATCATCATTATCATTCTGTTAAAAAGCATGTCACTCACAATTTGCCTTCTTTAGAAAATACTTTTAAACATACTCCTGACAATTCACAAATTGTTCCTAACGCAAATTTTATGAAAGATAATTTATCTAAAAATTTCGATGATATTCACAAAATTGTTGTCGATAAATTAGCAATTGATATGCAAAATAATGAACTTAATAATTCTAATAATAATTTTCAACTTCATGAATTAAAATCCGATCATTTGAAATTAACGCCAAAAATTGTAGAATCCTCATTAGAGGAAAGCTCTGTTTGTAATTTAGATAAGCCATTAAATGAATTAGTTGAATTGACTAAAAACACTAACGCTGCTGTTACTGACAATTTGTGTGTGTCCCACTCACCTCCTCACCTCAGGCAGCAGGATGAAAATTCCACGAGTCCAGTGCACGCGAATATCAACAATTCATTAATGGGAAAATCATCACAATTGAATAATACAAAAACCAATCCTGCTATTCCACTTCACAGGAGATCGTCTGATTCTGATCTTAGTATTACTCCAAAAGGTGAGATACACTTTTCAATTTTCTAAAATTTTAATTTTTACAAATTTTCAAAAAATTATAATTTATCTACCTATTTATTTTCTATATTAGCCATTTTTTAATAAAAAAAAAAAAAAAAAATATCAAAAAAGAAACGAAAAGGGACCAGCGAACAAAATTTACATTGGGGGATAACAATTTTTTGGCTACGCTAACAAAAATTTTTTTTTTTACCATTTTAGGATATTTTTAAAAAATCAAAATTTAAAAAAAATTCCAATTACCGTTGATAATAAATAAAAAAAAAAAGAAATTATTTTTGTATCAAAAATAAAAAAAAAATCTCTGAGGGAAGAAACGAAAAAGAATTTAGAAAAAGAAAGTCAAGAAATGTTATTTTTCTGTTTCATTTGCTTTGATATCCCCGCCAGGATATTATAAATTCTTACGAGAACGTGAGTACCAAAAGAAGAAGAAATAAATTTTTTTTGTGTCTCCTTTATTGTTGTACTGATACAAAATACAACAATATTTAAAAATGTTTCAAAATACAACAAAACTGTTTACTTTATTTCTATTTTGTATAATAACCAAATAAACTAAAAATTAATGTTACTATTCTCTAAATTTAAATTAGTAATTCTTTACTTTAAACTAATTTCAATTAGTTTAATTAATTAAATTTAAAAAAAAATAATTCAAATTAATTGTAATTTTTTTCTAATTAAGATTTAGAGAGAGAGAGAGAGAGAATTACATAATTATACGTCTTACATCTGTAAATATGTGTTTAACACAAAATTTCTTATTTATCTATATGTATTCTTTTTTCAAATATTACAAGCATGTATTCGCCGAATCTAATTTACTATCCTTTCGCTTGTAAAAAAAAAATCTGTGTCCCTATCTCGTATTACCAAACATTTTCAATATTTACTTTATAAAAAAAAAATTAAAATTTCTAAACAGAAAAATGACCAGTTTTCAGAAATGTTAAGTATTACTTATTTTTGTTTAATTATTTATTCAGGATTTAAACGAGATAAAAAAAACCGTTTAAAAAATAATTTTATTTATATGAAATTTTATTTTATATTATGGTAAATTATTTATTTTTATTTATTATTTATAATAATTTATTGAATTGTCTTTATTATTATTTTTTTAATTATTATTAGTTTACTATTCATTTATTCACTATTTCTTTTCATTAATGTGAAGAAAGAAATTTTCGGAACAAATAAATTTGATGTTAAAACAAGTGCATTATAATTGAGGAAAAAAAATAATAAAAAGCATTTATTTTCTGTTTTTCAGGCAATTCATTAGCAAGCAGTGATAGATCTATGGGAGGATATTTAAAACCAACAACAGCAATTCGAACAATGAATCAAGATGCTTCCGATATGTTGGAATATCCATTTCTAACAATGCAACAATATCCACCTGGATTTATTTTACACATTGGTATTAAATGACAAATTAATCGTAATATTGAATCAAATATTAAAATTCGTTAAATTTATTATTAATAATAAAAATAAAAGTTTACCTTCTGTTATTTTATTAAATTTTCATGAAAAAAAAAACTTTTAAAAGAATTATTTTAATAAAAGAATGAAAAAAACTTTAAAGGAATTAAAATTTTTAGGTGGATTAGTGAGTGCAAGATCAGTTAAATTACTCGAGAGAATATCAAATTTAGAAGAACCAGAAGGTCGCGATGCTTGGTGGACCGAAATAAGAATGGAAGTTCGCTCACATGCAAGAGCATTAGCTTGTAATGTTGTTATTGGTTACAGAGAAGAAACTAGCATTAGGTATAATTTTTAAATTATTAAAAAAATAATTTATCATTATTAAAAATTTTAACACTATTAATTATAAAAGAAACTAACAAATAGGGAAATTAATTTTCAGTGACGATGTATGTGTATTAAATGCATCAGGAACAGCTGCTGTGATAAATCTTCATAATATAAATCAAGATTTAGATAGTTCTTTCGTTAATCGACAACAACAAGGAATGGCAGCGTCAATTGATTCAGATCGTGAAAAAACACAACAAAAGGGAAACAACAATAAAAACGATAAAAATGACAATGAAACAACAATGACAAATCAAACAAATCAAACGGGAAAAATAAAGAGAACATCTGAAAGTAATGATCACGAAATTCCATATAGTCTTCCACTTAGCAATTGTAGTCTTTGTCATTTGCCATATAGCGAATCGAGTGTGCCATTTAAAGTAAATATAACAAAATGTGCCGTTTGTCGACGAGCCAAAGTTCCCGATGTTCTATTTACAACAATTGAATTACCAGATAATGTTCCTGTCACGGGTCGTGGATGTTTTGTCCAGGCAATTGTTTGTAAATGTAAAAAAGACTTACGCGGCGAATTAAATGCAAAAGAAATTTCCGATTGTCTCCCATTTCTTGAATATGAATTACACAGTTTATTGTTAAATAAATTAAAAGTCAAAGGAATGAATTCAATATTTGGACTAAAAGTACAAGTCTCAGTTGGTGAACGTTTAATTATTGGTATGGCTATTGGCACCGGTGTTTATTTGACATCACTTCCTACGCCATCGTTGCCACAAATTGCATCTGGTAATTCATGGAACAATGAGGAGCAACTCAATGAAATTCAAAAAAATCTCATGGAAACTGTGAAAAAGAATAGAGAATTTTATAAATTGAAAAGTACAGTAAGTACAAATAGACAAAATAAATTGAAAACATTTTTTTTTTCTTTCTTTTGTATAATTTCAGGATACTGATAATGGAAGATCAAGATCAGACACTGACGAATCGGATGATGATCTTCCTGATATGGACTTGAGTTTAGGAACAAAAGACGCTTGTGTTTTGGAAGTAGATGACGTTGAGGATATGGATAGAATATGTTTATTGATGGACGACACTCCACCAGATGATTTTCATGTTGTTAATACACAATCAATTCCCGGTTTAGAAGATCTTGAAATTGTCCGAAATTTACAAATGTTCACTCAAGTGTCGAGGGCAAAAATACCGTCTGGTCAATTTGGTTCCATGCCTTCGAAATATTTCGCCCGATTACTTCAGGTACTGGATTTTTTTTCTTTTTAGTTTTATTAATATAATTAAAAGATTGTAAAAAAAAATTGCAATTATATTTTTATTTGATTCTAGACTGTATATTTCAAATTACGACGAATGGTTCCTTGTGCCCTTTGCGATATGAAATTTAGAGTTGCTCTACCTGAACAAGATGAAATACAATTGTCAGTTGTTGGCATGGCCCTTGGCCTTGGAGAATCTTCGAAACATTCGAAGCATAAAAGAAAACTTATGACCTATTCATCAAGTAAAGATCAATTGAAAAAATCTGGTAAGTGGATGAATTTTTATATTTTCATTATACAATATAAATGGGAAACAAATTTATAAATTTTTGTTTTTTATTTAGATGATTGTGATATGATTTTCACGCTTGATGAAGATGTGGCAGAAATTGTACCAACAGCCACTAATGAAGTTGCAATAAATCCACAAAATTCACTTGTTTCATCTCAAAAAACAAGACCACGTTCACCATTGCGAATAAAATCACACACAATGCACAGACACAAACATGTAAGCTCTTTTTATAAATCAAACTCTTTTCAATTTGCCATTAATAAGAATTATATAATTTTTTTGTTTAAAAAAAGGATTTTTAAAGTCACTTAATTTTTTTAAAAATTTTATTCAAGGAAAATTAAAATATATTTTAAAAAATTAACAATTTTTTAATAAATTAAATTAAATTAAAAAGAATTATTACTAATTATATATTATTTAAAAAATTTGTTTAATTATTCAAGACGAAATTTAATTACGATCAAAGGGATAATTACTTTTTATTCTTCTTCCTTTTAGATATGTAGATAAGAATCGTTAATTGAATAAAAAAAAAAGAAAAATATTGAGTGCAATGAATTATCCCTTTTTTCTCTTATAGGTACCTTTAAAAGAACGATACGGAGTGGATATAACGCCACTTTCTTATTTACCCGGAGGGAGAATCGAGAGATATCTGGGAAATTTAAATTTCTTTTTTATTAGAGAAAGCACGTCTATTCGAGAAGTAAGTGAATATTTTTTTTTCTGTACTGCAAGAAATTGAGCTTGCGTTAATTTATTAAACTCTGTTTTTTTCTATAAGAATGGCGGAATTAGTGGATTTACACACAGTTTTGTTAATGAAGTTTTGGCTATTGTTCGTGCCCACGTAACGAGTTTAGGTGGAAATGCGATGGTTGCTTTTTTCATGACTCAATGCGTACTACTTCACAGTCCACACAAAAATCATGTAAGTTTTTCTCAATTTTCAAAAACATTTACAATTATTTTTATTTAAATAAATTAAATTTTTTATAAATTCACTCACCTATATAGTGAATTATAATTAATTTAAATTAATATTTATTAAGTTGAATCAATATTCAAAATATTCATTTGATAATTATTGAAACAATTTTGTTACAAATTTTATTGAATCATTTTTTTTTAAATTTAATTAACAAAAAAAAAAATTATGGGATAAAAAAAATAGAAATTCTTATTTTTAAAAAACTAATTATAATTTATTAATGTTCTTTTATATCAATGTCTCGCTGCTTATTAAAGTAGAAAACAATTTTCCATGAAATTAAAAAACAAAACTTCCGATTATGAAATTTATGAGTATAATTTAAATTTACAAATGCAGCAATATTGAACATTACGAGGAATTCAAATTATATGCAAATTAAAATTTAATATATCGTAGTTATAAATGATATGAAGACAGAAAACTTGATATCATTACGAGAAAGCAAGTGTAAACTTGAAATTAGATTTTGTCAAGAATTTCAACAAAGTTTTACGAATATATATCTTGACATTATGCAATTTTTTTTCTATTTTTTTTTTTCGAAAAAGTGGTTACAATTTGCCCTTGAACAATTCTAAAGCACTAAAGAAACTCATCTTATGAGTTATAAAAGGAATGCAATATCCTGTCATGAAAGAGAAAGCTAAAATTTTGTTAGAATTTTGTTCCAACTTCCGTCTATAAATGGAAATGATAAAACCATTATGGTACACGGGAAAAAGGGGAAATTGATTTGTGACTAGTTGGTTGCTTTTCTCCTCGATCTTTCACAAAAGAAAAATTGTTATGTAGCTGAAATACGACTTTGACCTCTTGTCTGGATTCAGTAATTTATGCAAATAGACAAAATTATAATTGTTAAGTGACATCGTTTAAAAAAAAAAAAAAAAAATCAAAGTTCACATTTTATTTAGTATTTTTTTTTTCTTCTTAATACTAAAAATAAACGAAAGTAAAAAAAAATAATCTAAAATGACTTTATTTTAATTAAAAGTATAAAAGATCATTTTATGTTTTATTAATAAATTTTTCTTTATTGCTGCATAATAGACAAATTTATTTTACTATAAAATAAACGATTAAAACAAAACAAAAAATTATATTCTGAAAAAAATAATTTATTTTTTTTTGTATCGGTGACTGAAAAATAATGAAAAATATATTTTTTCCCCAATTTGGAATAATTGATGGTAATAAAAATAATAATAATTAGGAATATTCGATTATGAAAGACATTGAAATAAATAGAGGACAATTTCTAATGAGTTTTCAGCTCTTTCCACGAGTTAGAATGTACAATTGTATTATTCTCGACATTTTCATTGTCTATGTAATAGAGACTAATGTGATTTGAGTTAGTGAAGCACTGGTTCATTGAAAACAGATATACGAACTCGCTTTATTGCGTACTCTGGCACTGGAAGGTCATGAAGATCATTGAATTACACTGTACATATAGTAAATTTAAACTGTGAATTGTGCATATGCTTATTTTCATATGTGGCTTACGTGGGTATATCGTCAAAGCTCATCAATACATTGCTTTCAATTTGTGACGTAATAAGTAAAATTTCACGCTATGTCACACACACATACACACATGAAAATTCTGCATTGTTTTAATTTAATTTGAAATAAGAGAGAAGACAATTTATTCGATTTTAATTGATTTGGCTTAATGCGCTAATACCTTGTTTATCATTTTCCTTTTGTTTTTCACTATATAAGAGAAAAAAAAGAAGATATTTTGTTTTATTGTATCAAAAATTGTCAAACCAAATTTGCAAATTTCTATCTTAATATTAATCAAATAAAAAAAAATCAAGTTTTTTTTCAAAGCCCAACGAATAATATAATTACGTATTCCGATTTGGTTCTATATTTATAAACTCTTGGTCTTGATGCGAGTGGGACCACTTGTGAAATAGCATAAAAGCGTTAATTACTCGGAGGACCCGTGTTATCCATTAAAAGGTACTTGACGGTTCTCATGTTTCAGGGACAGTGTCTAATTAACGTTGGCGGTGACGTTGTTTCCGTCTCATATTTCGGAGATGAGAGACAAATTGGAAATACGATTTGCTGACCTCAACCACCTCATTCAGCACCACCATAGCCAATAAATTCATTGAATCGTGGGATTTTTGATTTTCCAAAACAAAATTTGCAATTATAATTTAAAAAATATTTGATTTTAGTTTTTGTTAATTAAAAATTTTGTCCAATTCTTTAAAAACTTTGATTAGTGATGCACATCAAGAATCTTTTCAAGAAAAAAAAAAAAAAAAGAAAGATGAAAAGATTGTTTCCCTTTGTATTTTTCAAGAGATTCTCATTTTTTTATTATTTTTTTTTTTTTTTTTTTTGAATAAATCTCTCTTAACATGCATCACTAACTATATTATTCGCTCAAAGTGTTGTTGTTATTATAGAAACTGCGTAGGAGCCTATCATGACCTTTTATTAATTTGGAAATTTCTCTGATTTTAATTTGACTTTTCAAAAGTTTTAATAGTAAACATAATACATTATTAATTAATTAATTACTAATAGATAATTTATTAATTAATTTTTAATAATTAGAAATTAATTCTATTCAGCAGGAATTGGAAAATTCTAATAATTTAATTTTAATATATCTTTTAGTTTTTTTTTTTTTTTTTTTTTTTTAAATGATTTTTCTGCCATAAAAGATATTTAATGTCTTGTTTTTATTGATATCAATGAAATTTTTCAAAGTGCCAATTTGGATAATATAACAAAAAAGGCTGAACTTGTGAGAAAATTTTGTGATTCGAAAATTATTTCTGCCATGACAAAAATATTCTATATACGATGAAGACATGCAAAAAAGAAATGTGATGTTCAGCGTGAAAAAAAATCATTTTTGACTTTTAGCTATTTTCAAAATCGATATTTTTATTTTCATTATATATAATATATAATGACTAATATATATAAATAAGAAAATAGAAATTAAAATACAGTGCTAGTCCAATATGCAGGGTTCGTTATTATAAATATTTATCAACGTGACGTTTACTTAATCTTCGAGTTATTCTCTATATATTATATACAAAATATAAAAATGTGTGCTACTTTCAATGCCATCGATATTTACAGACTATATTTTTTTCTTTTTAATAAATTTACAATTTTTATTTCTTTTTTTCTTTAATTTTTATATATTTTCATTTTACATGAAAATTATTTTAAAAATAGTGTTGTTTTTTTTTGCTCACAAATAGACTGAGAAAAATTTTTTTTTCAAATCAGTTTTTTTTTTTTACTTCAATTGCTTTTTTATTATACCCAAGTTTTTCATTAGTTATATTTGCAAAAAAAAAAATATTTGCTCATGTTATTCTATTTTTAGAGAGAAAAAAATCCAACAGCCTTATAGCAAACAATGTTTAAAATAAAAAAAAATATATATATATTGCTTGATAAAAAATCAAAAAACATTTTAAAGCAAAATTTGTAATATACCATCGAAATAATATGCTCACTATATAGACTTGACAAGTTCTTTGAATTTATAAAGAACTATTTTTCCTCTCAAAATACCCGCTGTATTCGCTACACTATCTAATTACAATAAAGTCCAAAGGTATATGCTTGATTATTATTAAAAAAAAAAAAAAAAAAAAAAAAATAGTTAAAAATCTGTAAATACCTACTACGAATTTATTATATATTGAGAAATTTTTTTTTATAGTTTTCATAGTGCTTGCCCTTAAATTATTATTATTATAATTTAACATCTTATTTTACAGACGATTTAAAAAACGAAAAATTTATTATCGATTCAATCGTTATTATTAGTTATAATTATTTATTAGTATTAAAAAAAAGATTATTATCATAACATATATAGTTAAGTCTGGTCAATAATTGTTATTTTTTTTTTTTTTTGTTAATTTAACGAAGAGAAAAAAATTGTTTTAAACTAGATATTATGCTCAATAAAAATATTGAGAAAAATATTTAATTGTATGTAAAAAGTGATATTTGTAAATAGGCAATCAAAGAATGAAAATTAATTGGCATATCTAAAGTGTGCTAATAAAATTCTTTACGTAAATTAGATGAAACAATATAAGAGTTATTCAACACTTTTCTTAATTAAATAACCTTTGTTCATTAAATGTGAATAAAAAAGGTTAAATAAAGGTTTCTATTTTATAGCAATAAATACAAATAACACAAAATTCGAATCACTGAAAAAAATTATACAATAATGGCTCTAACATTTTAGAAATCAGTTTTGATTTTTGAATTCGAATTTTTAAATTCTTCTAGAAAAAAATATTATAATTATATACATGCAAATCATAATTTATAATTATTTCAATCGGATGCTTTGGATTTAAATTTTGATTGATTTTATCTACATTTTATTTGAACAAATATTCATAGTAAAAAATACTTGTTATGTATTTATTTATTTATTATGCACAAGTTATGCTCAAATTTTCCAATTTTCACGTGAATAAATTTTCAAGGGATAATGTTTGATATATAACAAGGTTTAAACTTAAAGCAAATATTGCTTGTTATATACTGAATACGTAATATATTATTTTCTATATGAGTAAAATTTGAAAATTGAGAGCTTTCGCATAAAAAAAATTATGAATATTTAGCTATATTTTCGGTTTGTTAATTCCCCTATATAGGTATTTATATAGGTATTTAATTATTTATATAATTATTTAAATATTTAAAAACAAAATGTTATTTATAACAATCTTAATTATTTTTCTAGGCAATTTTTTCCTATATACTTAGATGATGTTATTTATGTAAATAGTTACAATGTTTGTAAATAGTTGTTTTTTTTTTGTTTGGAATTGTAATAATAATTAAATTGTCATCGGCTCAAAAGAAAATTAGAAATTACTTTTCCAATAAATAAAAAAAGAATTCTGATATTGTTAAAAAATATAGATACTGTTTTACATTACATTATGTAACACGAAATAAATTGGTTTCAATAAATCGTTTTCTTGAATACAAAATTTATTGTCAGACTTAATTAAGTTTATTAATTTCCAATTTCCACATATATATATATATATATATATTATCCTCGCTCTCCTTTTAATTGAATAACGAAGCTATGCAGTTATTTGTTTTACCTCAATTTCTTTTCATATTGATAAAATAGTGCTGTTTTATATAATGATTCTCTTTGTATTATAATTACATTTATAATTATTTCTATATATAATTAACTATTATAAATTAGTTTTAATTTTTTGTTATAATTTATTTAATATTTATTATAATTAATTTATGATTATTATATTATAATTAATTTTGTAATTATTTATAAAATTATTAAATAATAGATAATAAATTATAATTTATAGAAAATAATAAATTTGAATCAAATTAAATAATTGTTACAAATAGTTTGGTTCAAATAAATATTTATTTGATATACAAATAGTCAATAATTGAAATAATTTTCACTTAACTTTTCGTTTGACAAGTTAAAATGCGAAGGCGTTTAATAAAGTAAGATGTTCATTGTTATAAGAAAATATTGGAACGTCAACGATTACTCTGTGTCTTTCGAAAAGTGGTTTTATTTTCTCACGGGAAGCTTTTCGCCAAAGTATTTTGTACGTTGTAAGAAGAGAGGGAGAGAGAGAGGAACGACGTAACTAATGGGGGTGGAAATCGCGTATCCCTAAGACGTGCTTTCACGTGCGTTTTTCCAATGTCGTCACACCAGAGAGATCAAGTCTCTCAAGATTGATATTCCATTGCCTCCGATGGCAATTATTTGTTCCAACAGCTGTAACCCTTCGCGCATTTTAAGTAGTTAAAGAAAAGGTCACTGTATCTACATAAAGGGGGGGGGGGAGGGCGACTTTTAGTCTTTTTTTACACCCTTTTTCTTAACTCATTATTCGCAACCCCTTATATACAAAAACTCATTTATTTCATCGCACAGCTCCCACAAAATCGAGATTCAAAAAATTATTTTTTTTTTATATAATAAAGTAAACGATTATTTAAATCAAATATATTTTTTGTTTCACTTTATATCCATATTTTTAGTTGATTTTATGAAAAAATAATTTTTATTGCCCAACTTTATTACACGCTTCTATATAATATTTTCTATACGCATCTCTTGTTCTCATTCAATTAAACGGACTATAAAAATCTCTTCGAGATTAATTTTTTTTTTGTATATGAAAAAAAAATTTTACATCCAGAAATTTCAACTTGGAAAAATTAATTCAGGAATTCAAAATAATGAAAAAATTCCAAACGAAAATTATTTCACTCTTGTTGAAATTTTATTAAATCAAATGCAATTTATGGAGAAACATTTTTTGTTTTAAAGTTAAGAAAAAGGAAAAATTTTTTTTTTTTTTCAGAAAAAGAACAAAATTTTTTTAAAAAACTAATTAACCAGCGGTGAAATTGGAAAAACTTTAAATTTAAAAAGTTGGAAACATAAAATGTGGGTCACAGTATTAAGTATAAAATGATATATGTCAAATTGTTGCAAAGTGGTCGTTTTCAATTATATATGTCGACATTTTGATAAAACCGAAAAATTTCAATGTACCTGATTTAAATAGAATGAGAATATTATTGAATCTACAATTTTTTTTATTTTTGTGAAAATGCACCAAAATATCAAAAAAAAAAAAAAAAAAAAATTTGATAGAACAAGGAAAATTGTAATTGATTAGAAATTTAGAATTTCTATCATTGCATCTCACAAGTATTGGATCTAGTAATATAATAGTTACCCTTTTGATGAGTTATGCAAACACGCTTAGAATTTGCCACACTGAAATGCTTCTATATATCGTTGAAGATTTAATTAAACGCACTATATAATTAATTCACATTTAGACGAATTTATCCTTTTGATGTTACTTACTGCTCTCTATTACAAACGCTAAAATTAACATTACCTAGACTGATAAATAAAAATTATTTAATTTCAAATAATCCAAATAATTACAAATAAATAATTTTGAATATTATCAAATTATTTATTTTATATATGAAATAATTAATTATTTCTATCAAAATAATTATTATCAAAGTCAAATTAAACAGTATTACAAAAATTATTGATTTTAATAAATTTAATTCGAAAAGAAAATTGTTTTGTTTCTTATTTTTATAATTATTAATTTTCTTTATTAATTTCATTTTATATTTCCTTTTTCATTTTTTTTTATTACTCATTTTTATAATTGCTTTATCAGTATAAAAAAAATCACGTACAGAGGATTTTTTAATTTATTTTTTTTTATAAAAAGGAAAATTAAATTGAAAACTTCATAAATGATTTTGATAAAAAATTGATAGTAAATTTTTTTATATTTAATTTGTTTTATGTTATTACATATTATTATTTATTATTAATAATAGATAATAATAAAATAAAATAAATATAAAATATTAATAATAGAATAATAATATAATAGAATTTTGTGGCCTCTGAACCAAAGGCCACAAAATTCATTACATTAAGTCTTTGAAAATTAATTATTTTTAATTATTCAATTAATTTTAATTAACTTATTATCCAGTTATGAAATATTCGAAAAATGTGAGATAATTGAGAATAACAAATAAAATAAAGAATGAAAAAAAAAAAAAATCTGAAACACTCTTAATTTGAAGAGAGTTGATCTTGAAAATTTTTCGGATCCTTTATGGTGGGTGTTGTACGAAATGAACCGCAAAACTTTCACCTCTAGAGAATTTTTTTTTTTCAAAATAGAGAGAAGAATAGAAACATCATTATCTGCGGTGAATTTCATTACGCAGCTTCTCGCCTTTTCAATAACTTTGTAAAAAGAAAATTGAATTATCTGTAGTGTCACATACTAAGACGATGGAATTCTTCAGAGGGTTTCGGTTTATATGTAAAAAAAAAAAAACATCAAAATATATCCATTGATACCTCATATCAATTTCATCTTCAAACACCAATTTCCGTTTGACCTACAAACTTTTTTTTTTATATATTTATTATTTTATCTAAAAAAAATTTTATTACCCTGAAATTATTGTTAATGAATAAATAAATCATATTTACTTATTTATAATTTTAATTTAAAATCAAATAATTCATTCAAGTGAATAATTAATAATCAAATGATAAATTAATTTTTAATTAAATTTTTTTTTTATTATTTTATTATTTTTTTAAAACTATTTTTATCATTTCTTTAATTTATTTACTATCTTCTTTATTTGTTTGCAGATTATTTTGTTTTCACTTTATTCTCGAAAAATTCTCGATTTATTGTGTGATTTTTATTTTTTTAGGAGAAGGAGAAAATGAGGTTTTTTTTTTTATATAATACGTATTAGAGAACAAACGATAACTTGCGAAAACATTTCCAGAGAGAAACTTTATGTACAACATATATACTTTATATAATAAATATATAATCATTTTAAATAGGATAATTTTCATGCATACATATCCAGATCGCTTTTAATAAGTGAAGCGATAAAATGAAGAACGAATTTTTTTTTTTTCCTAACAATATAATATAACATCGAAAAGCAGATGCTGATAGATTAAAATGACTTGACATTTTTTTTTTATTTTTTTTTTTGCAGCGTCGAAAGATCCCCTTAACAAATTTCGCTGTTTTTTCCCATTTTTTTTTTTTTTTTATTTTCCTAATTATTCTAATATTAGCCGGAATTATGAAACTTTTTGATTTTAAGATATACGTATACAATTTTTATTATTTTATTATGACGAAGCATTTGCATAAGTATAGAAATTGTATTACATTAGGTTTTTTATTTTTTAATTCATTTTTGCAGGATGTTTAGAATCTTTTCTTCAAAAAATTTTGAATTAATTTTTGCAAGATTTGCTCGTATTTTTGTCAAGAGATCAGAGATAAATATGTGCGTTAATTATTCATACAAAATACTTCGTCATTTTTTTTTTTTTTTTTTTGACAAATAATTTTGCGTTACATTCAGTTTTTTTTAAATTTTTATCTAGAGATTGATATTTTTTAAATACAAGTGAAAATACTTTATTTGACAATAATTTGTTAAATAAAGTGTTCCGCTCAGAAATAATTATTTTTAATTTACATTTTTTTCACTCTATTTGGAAATACTTAAGTGAATCTATTTTTTCTATTCTTTTTTCATTAAATTTTGATTTTGCATTTAAATTAAATTTAAATATTAAAAATAATTTATTATTGAAAAAAATGTTTAAGTTTTTTATGAATTTAAATTACATTTGAATTTAATATTAGTTGGATCGAAAATTCGTTGAAAATTTTATATTTTTAACACACGGTTGGAAGATTTCTCAATAAATAGAAATTGTTTTTAAATTTTTTCTCATCTTTTTTTTTGTATTATTAATTTACTATTAAATTCACTTTAAATATTTCCATTTTTGTATTTTCAAAGAATTCTCATTTTTTTTTTCTACATATTTATTTCAGTTCATAATTTAAGCAAAAATATGCTTAAAATTTTTCTACATGATGCAAAAATATGTTACTTTCAGAAAATAGGAAAGTATATTAACAATTCTTGTAAAAAGAATCTATTACTTTCTTGCAATTCATTTTTACTATGGCTTTTATTTTTTATACAATTTATTATTGACTGACACAAATATTTTAGGTTGAATCTCTACTTTTTTTTTTATGAATTTAATTAAATTATTGGTAAATTAAATGGAGAAAGAAAATTTTCATTGGATTAATTAAATTTTGATTTTTGTAAATTTTATTTCGTCATCGTTTTATTTTTCTGAGGAAACATTTATTTCTTTTTTTTTTTTTTTTTAATGAAATGACTTTGGAACAATGACTGAAAATATTTGACTTAATTTAAAATTGATTAATTACTATGGTATTAATTTTAATTTTCAATTAGTTTATTTTCAGGTAAAATCGAAAAAATGAATCACTGACGGAAATGAAAGTGTCATTTTATAAAATAATTATGCATTTTCTGAAAAAGTTTAATATTCTTGCAAATTTAGCAAAAAAAAAAAAAAAAAAAAATGTAGACAGAAATCGCTTGACCTGCGTTTTTACATAAAATTTACTAGAGCATCGAATATTGTCATTGAAAAAAAAGAGATTATGTTTCATTCAATAATAAAAACGAAATAAATTTTATATTAATTTCAGTCAATATTTGTTTTAGGTGAAAATTTCAAAAGTATGGAAAATTTTATTAAATATCTTGCGGGAAGATTATTACTTAGTTTTTTTTTTTAAAAAAATTTATTTTTGTTTGTATAAAAAAAGAGACTATTCGATTTTAGTTTCAAATTATTTTTTTTTTGAAATTTCCACTTTGCATTTATATCAACTTTTTTTTTTATAAGTTTAAACATAATTCATATTATGATTATTTAATAATTGAAATTGAATTTGTGAAATCAAATTTATGATTATCAGTTTGAGAATAAAATTTGATTAAAGGAATATTTTACCTGTTAGAATGAAATTTGATTTAAAAAATTATTTTATTTCAGATAATTTTTATTTAAATGAATTAAAAATTATTGGAATCAATTTCTCTATTTGAGGTAAAGTTTCAATAATAATTATTTCATACAAATAAATATTTACTTGATAAGGTAATAATTAATTAAATTTTTTTTTTTTTTTATAAAAAATCACTTTTAAGGAGATGTTTAGCATTCAATTAATAAATATACGTTTCTAAGTATTAGGATTTTAGGTAAAACTCAAATATCATGGAAGCTATATATATGATTATTATTATTCTATTTATCCTTTATCTTCATAAATCTTTGAAAATTTTTTTTGAATTTTGTAATTATCACTGACAATTTTTTTTTTGTTAATTTAAAGAGTTATATAATATAATAAAATTTTGTTACATATAATGTAATAAAAAAAAATATAATACAAGTAAAAAATTTGTATTGCAAAAAAATGTAAATAAAAATAAGAGCTTTTTAAAGAAATGAAGATAAAGGAATTGGGGACAAGATGGCATTGCGGGTTATGAGAGGGGGTCAGAAAAATTGTGAATACTTAATTAAAGGGCGCAAAAATTGTCGAGGATGCCGAATCCTGCATTTACTCTAATCAGACTTTTATTGGCGGCTTCGAGTGGGTGAATCTCATAGGCGCCGCGTCATTATCAAGATCGCACGCTAAGGAAATTGTTCCTTCTTTGTATCCGGCCTTTATATATATCATTTCATCTCAATTATCAGTGAATCTGCAATCAGACTCGAATTTCCTTTTTTTTTTTCATTGTTTTTGTTTTATTCTCATTTTTATTTTCTCTAAATATTTGTGTTGGTGTATATATATATATATATTAATTCTATAATAATGGAGACCATTCGTCAGTTTTCGAAAAAAAAATTTTTTTTTAAAATAAACATAAACATTATTTTATTGATAAATGACGAAGAGACCGAACGACAAAAATCAAAAATTATACGTTATACGAAAGAGAAATTTTTTGTTAATTTTTATTTTCAATTTTTACTTAACTTTTTTTTATTTGTTTTTTGGATGATGAAATATTGAATAAAAGAGCATATTTATTGCATTACAAATTGGACTTAATGACGATGGTTCCTTGCAAAAAAAAATTTCCCTTCGTCTCGCGCAGGAATCATCATCTTGCTTTTTGTTTTTTTTAGAATGCCAAAGTTGTCTAACGTCGTTTTCCAAAACGTAGAAATACGTGATCAACATCCTGACGTTTTACACCACTGTCAGGCAAAGGAACAGTCTCGTGAAGAACTGAAACTAAAAAAATTAATCAAAAATAGTTGTGCAACTTACCGTGATTGATAATCCTGTAGATATTGTGATCTTGCTGAAATTTTACAAAAAAAAAAATAAATAAAATTGTCTATTATTTGAATTAATATTTTATAATTTTTAAATTAATAAAAAAAAATATTTAAAAATAAATAATAAAAACATATTTTTTCATTATTAAAAGAAAAAAGAAAAAATTCAACAAAATAAATGTAGATTATTTAGTAATTAACGAAACTAAAACGTTTATATTCAGTAGAATTTAGATAAAAAGAAAAGAAAGAGAAAGATTCTAAAACGTTTTCCATTTGCATAATTTTGTTTCGCAATTTTCAAAATACTCAAAGTCGTTTTCATTTGACTTTTTATTTCAAGCAATAATCAAAATCTAATTAATACAATTTTTTTTTGCATTAAAAATTCCAAAATTTTGAGTAGAAATTTTTTAGTTTGTAAAAAAATAAATTATTCAAATATTATATATTAATTTAAAAAATTGAAATTTTTATTTCCTTCTGTTTCTATTTTATACGAATTAAATTTCCGTGTATATGTATAAATAACTCAGGACACGCGGAACTTTCGACATGTGTAATAAAAAAAGTTATGAAAGATTTCTTGCTTTCTTATTCGCGTAATAAATTTCAAGTTCCTTAATAAAAAGAAAAAAAAAAGTGTCAAAAACAAATTTCTCATCAATAATTGTTAATTCAACGAAAAAGTTAATTACTTTCTTTTTTTTCTTATTTTTTTTCTCAATATTCTTGTCATTCAATCGCATCAAAAAAAGTTCAACGCAGTAACCAATTTCTTCCGCAAACTCACCTATATATATATGTAGTTGCAATAACCTACTCAATAAATTTTCAATGTGATTGAATTTCAATCTGATGAAAAAGTTGATATACTTTTAAATGCACAAGAAGTATAAAAGAAAAATTTCTTCCTCTAAAAATTTGTTTCCTTTTTTTTTAAGTGAAAAAATAAAATCCGTAAAATTTTTTACACAAAATTTTGGTTTGTTCAATATTTTTCTAAAATATTCGCAATTTTATTGGCGATTGTGAAAATTAATAAAACTAATAATAAATTAAAAATTATAAATAAAAAATAAATTATTTAGCCATTATTATTATTATTATTATAAAACGTTATTTATATGACAATAAATAAAATCAATTCAATAAATAAATTATTTACTCAAATATGTCGAAATGAAAATTCATTAAAATAAAAAAATTAATATTAATAGAAATAAAATTTAAAAAAATAAAAAATTAAGAATAAAAATAAATTCATGAAAATAAAAAAAATAAATTATTAAAATTTTATAGTTAATAATTCTTTATCAAATGGAAATTTCATGTAAAGAATTTTTGTGACTTGTAACATTAATCACATATGAAAATATACTCTATACATAAATGCAGAAGGTTATTAATATGAGTTTATGTGAAAAATTTCAAAAAAAAAAAAACTTGTATGGTATACTTATAAAAAATGTTCTAAAGTTTGATGCATAAATTACCTTTATCCTCGATGTAGTTTTCCATCGCGGTCCCTAGTTCATATAATGTGGATAGAGCTGCGCAAACTTTACGAATCCTTGGAGGAATTTCATCCAAAAATCCAGGACTACATTGAGCCGGAGGCATGCCGAATACTTCACCTGAGAAAATTATGACAATTGTTGCCGAAGCCAAAAGTAAAACTCCATTATTGCATTTCATGTCTGAAACAGAAAAAGAAACATAATTAATTAATTTCTTTACAAAAAAAAAATTAATTTTTCTAATAAATATTTCTTAAAAAAAAAATGATTTTTTTTTATTTTAATTGTTAATAAATATTTTTTCTTAAAAAATATTTTTATTTTTGCGATATAAAAAAATTTAATTCTCTCCGTTTAATCAAAAAAAAAAGAAAAAGAAAAACAGTTTGAAAAATGAAGACATAAATGTATATTAAGAGAATGTGGAGAAAAGAGGTTGAGTAAATATGTCTTTCTTGAACTAAACGATTTACTATCTGCAATACCTACACTTCAGTGGTGAATAAAATGACTAAGAAAATGAAAAAAAAAAAAAAAAAAAATCTGGACTTACGTTAAAACGGACACGAATTACTTATATGAGAATCTTATATATCTTCGTTATTTGTAAGTTTCCCTACATACTGTCGACATAAAGCGACCACGCACATCCCTTCACATTTCAAAAGACTCCCCCCATTTTCTATTTAAAAATAACACCAAAACCTCTTATCGATAATCACCAAAAAACATTCTCTCTTCTCAGTGTTTTAATATTTACATTATCATTCATAAAAAAAAGTCTGTAAACATGGAAAATAAATTTCTATACACAAAAAAAAACCTTCTTTATGGGAAACTATTAATTCTCAAGAAAAAAAAAATTATCTCTTCGAAAATTAAACAAAAAATTTCATTGATTTTAATTTTTCAAAATTAAATTTTCGAAATAATAAATAATTTATTTTCATGTTTAATAAAACATTATGTTTTGATTAATTTAATTTTTTTCAAATTAAGATAAAATAAATTATTTATTTTAATGTTTTAATAAAAAAAATAATTAAAAAAAAACATTTAGTAAAAAATAAATGTTGAACAATTTATTTGAAATTTATTAAAATTTCAATTCTAATTCTTTTGTTACAAACGACAAAAGCTTCCATTGTACGCGGAGCAAACAAAATTATATTAATTTAATTAAGAAGAAAATAGAATTCAATTATGTAGAAAATAAATTTTAGCGCAATATCTCGTTTATTTTGAACATGTATAATATTTTAACACCATCTTATTTTCCCTGGGACTTAATATTCCATTGTTAATTAGAGGATTGAAGCTCTTATATATATAATCGCTATATATTTAAGCCAAAAGAACGACTTCACTTTGACTTTACATTCTCGCGAAGGTTTTATTATAAACTTGTTCATTCTCTTTCTCTCTAACTATAACGTCACTAAGTCTCGAAGAGAACATAATGAGAGAAGTTTACTGTCAGACTTATTCCTCTTTTCTTTATCTTTTTCACATCTTTATTAGAAAGCCGCCAATATAAAGATCCATAAGTTTATTACTCCTTATTCTAAAAAAAAAAAAATTTTTCTTGAAAAAAGAAATTATATCTTTTTTATGTAATTAAAAGATTTGCATTTTTTTTTTCCTGTTGCAAAAAACGATTGTGTACACAAGTACTTAAAGTTATATAGAGATTTTACAAAATTTCTTTTGTTTTAATTTTTCAAAGCTCCTTTTTAGTTTTTTATATCTATAAAACAAAAATTCTTTTTACTAAATTTCAATCAATTTTTTTCGCTTTTTCTAAAAACACAAAATTTTAAATAATATAAAAATATTTAAAAATTGTTTAAATAAAAATAAAATTTACTGAAACAAAATTTATTTGATTCAAATCAATCGATTACTTGAGTATTATCAAATAAATATTTATACTTGAACCAAATAATTTTTAATTGAATTAAATAATTTGTTTTTCACTGCAAAATTAGTATCGTGATAATCATATAGTTTTGTGAATTTTTTTTTGTTTATATATAATTATTGCGTATTATTATTTTATTATTAGTAAATATTAAATATTATTAAATAATTATTATATTAATTAATATATTATTTTATAATTAATAATTATAATGTAATAATTATATATTATAATATAATTATAATTTGAAGTACGCAATAAAATTCTAGTGAAAAAAAAGTTAGAAATAGAAATTCTTCATTCGTAAAATGCTCTTTATTTAGATTCAAAGAGACAAAATTACACAATCAAATATATCCTTCAAGCTCACTTCCTGTATTTCCTTTTTCATATATATTAAATCTGGGATTTATATCTTAAATAAAATAAATTAATTAATATCTTTTAAAATTTTTTATATTCAGATTATTCTAATTGTAATAAAATTTGCAAAAAAAAAAATTAATTTCTGCTTAAAGTTTTGCAATTATTTTTTTCTTTTTATTGTTTTGCAATTTATAACTAAATTGAATTCTTGTGTAGCAAACACAATGATAGTATATATATATATATATAACAAAAGTGATATAAATATTATATATATGTGGAATAATTAATTTCGAAATTCTATTGGTTTTTCTGCATATATCGCTGTGTATATATGTAATAGAGGATAAATCAATTATTTATTACTCTCGTGAAAACGATATTTGAAATTATGTTTATATTTTACTTAGATTTATTTTTGAAAAAATATTTTGTTTATTCATATATGACAAACAATGAAAATTAATAAAACTGTTCTGAATATATTTTTTTTAATTTATAAATTATTTGCAAATTATAGTTCAATAATTATAATTGAATTTTAATTTGACACACGTGGAAAACAAATGGATTTAAAAAAAACCCCTTCATTATATTTTATGCACCATTTTTTGCAAATTTTCATATTCTATCACATTTTTTTTTTTTTTTTTTTTAATTAAAATACATGTTCTTTTTGTAAATTAAAAAAAAAATGGCATATTTATTATGTGAAAAAATATTATTTTATGAATTTATATATTTATTAAATTTATCTATTTATTGAAAGTAATATGAAACTGAGTAGGCGAAAAAACTTGATAAAAATCGGAATTAAAAACAATTTAAAAAAAACAAAAATGATTTACGTAATACAATATTTATATTATTCATAAAAATTATGTTTAAAAAAATTGTTCTTTTTTATTTTTATCTCGTTTTGTTTGCCTACTTTTTTTTTTGTATATAAATCCAAACAAAAGATAATTATAATTGTATAAAAAATATTATGAATAGTCGCACATTCTCACGCGTCTGATCATAATAGGCTTCTACTACTTACAATACTCATGATTTACGCGTGGGATGGACCACAAGTTAAAATTGATTGATTAAAACGAATTATCGGAAATAATACATTTTTTTTTTATAAACTAAAAGAAAAACCATTTCATTTATTTATTACTTGACTATTATTAAAATATTTATTTGAATCAAATAATTTTTATTTGTCAAACATTTTTAGAGAAATTTTATTGGTTCAAATTTTTTTACCTGATTCAAATGAAAAATTATTTGTTTCAAGCAAATATTTATATTTATATTTGATATAATAGTTATTTGAAGGAAATAAATTTTTTTTTTCCCGCAGTGCAAATAAAAGTGAAGTAGTAAGATTGTCTTAAGGTCAGACAGGATTGTCTGACGGCAACTCTTCCTTATCTACTTTTGATTTCGAGAGTTGCGGATCTCTCTGAGGGAAAAGGATGTGAATTGTTTGATCACGTGGAAACTTTAAATCGGTTATATCTTAACTATATATATATATTTTTTTTTTTACTTTCCTATATATATTTCTGTGTAAAAAAAAATAAATAAAAAAAAATTATTTTTAACTACAACGAAATATGATAAAATTTATTTAAAAAAAAAAAGTTTTTTAATTAATTAAATAAATTATAATTAGTTGCAAATTAACTTTTTCGCTCTAATAAATCTTCTGTTAATTTGTCTCATTAATCTCATTTCATCTTTTCAGATAAACTTTTAATACTATTAGTGGCATTATTAAATTTTTCATATATACTTTAAATGTTAAAATGTAAATTTTTCGATTTTTTTTATTTTTTATTTAACAAAGAAAACATTCTTATATTAACCTAATTAAATATATTTATTCAACTGACGCACGATTTTTTTACTATATATTTTTTAGAAACTGCGTCACATGTATATATTTAAATCCATAACTTTATATTCTTCTTTTTTTCTATATAAAATTAAAAATTAAATAAAAAATAATTAAAAATTTTTATTTTTATTAAAAAATGTTTCCTCAGATATAATTAAAATTTTTCTTCATAAGATTATAAAATTTTCTGTAAAATAATTTTTCTCCAGTGTGAAAATTAAAAAAAAATAAAAAAAAACTGTGAAGAAATTTCAAGCTACCAATAAAATATTTTATTTTTATTTTCAAATTTTTATAAAAGACCTCTAAAATATTACCAAAAAGTTTGATGAGAGTCATTATATTATTACTATCTACTAATTAGTGTAAAACTTTTAATGAAATCTTTCAATGTAAAACAAAAACTTTTATTCTTAATTAATAGACTAAAATTGGACACCTCTAATCCTTTTACGCCTCCACTTTTTAATATTTCTTCCAGGTTCGGAAAAAAAAAAATTTTCAATTTTCTTTACTCACAAATTATCGCACTTTGTCTTTCTATCGAAAAGGACTTAATTTATTCTTGTCAGGAGGATTTTAATTTATTCTTTACACATAAAACTTGAGTAGATAAGAAAGTGAGAATATTTTATTAAATTATTTTTAATAAAAAAAAAAGAAACAATAATGTAAAAATATTTCAAGAACGATTTTTTTCGCTTTTTCTAAAAACACAAAATTTTGAATAATATAAAAATATTTAAAAATTGTTTAAATAAAAATAAAATTTTAAAGGAAAAAATTAATTGAAAAATTAATTATTTAATTATAATTGAAAAGACTTAATTGAAAAAAATTCAATTGGTAAAAATTAATTTTATCAGAGAGAAATGAATATTATATATTTTTTCCCAAAAATTTAATTATTTATTTATATTGAAATAAATAATAACTGAAAATACAACTAATATTTTTCACTATAGTTTATGAAGGTTGGAAGAAATGTAGCTTCAGTTAAATATTTATTCAAGATATGTCCAGGTGAATAAACGTAATAATAGATACGATGACACTGATCTCAACAATTATTTTTCATTCGCAATTTTATATTAGAAAATTTATTCTATTTCCAATTTTAAATAACAAAATCAATTGTTTATATTTTAGTAATTAATAAAAAGCTTTCTTTTTTTTCTCTTTACAATTAAAAGGAGAAAAAAATAATTAAATTCCATATTTTAGTATGTAATTTTACGGTGAAATCAACGTATAGGTATAAATATTTGTTGAGCGTTTTAATAAAATTGGATATTTGTTAATTTAAATATTTCATAAATTTTACTTTTCTGTTGCAATAAAAGAGTATTTTTTTAATTTCTTTATTTTAATTAATTTTTTAAAAATAAAAAATAAATTTTCATTTCTCAATGATTTATTTGTTTTTAACAAAACTTTGGTTTGCATATAATTAATTTTTTCCAAAATAATAATAATAATATTATTTATTTCGTTGGTATTAATTTAAAATTTGATACGAATTTTTAACTCTATAAAAGTAATATTTAAAATATTTAAAAAATTATAATAAAAATTCGAAATTTTTTTTTTTTTTTGAAGCTTTTGTAAATGATTTTACAAAATATAAATTATTAAAAAATTTTATTTATAAATATTAAACAAAATTTCGTTAAAATTGTTTAAATTTGTATAGAATTTATTGTTATGCAATTAATTTTAAATTTTGTTTTTTAAGACTTCTCGAAAATTTTCACTAGAAAATTTTCCGTGTTACTTATAAATTTTTTTTTTATCTTTAGAACATGAATATTTTTTTTTTATTAATTTTTAGAGTAAATATTATTTTTGATTCTTAATTTTATTAGAAAAAAATTTTTTTTATGTATAAACTAACTTTTTTACTAAATTTTTTTATAACTTTCTAAATCTGAATTAGTAAAAATCATAAATAATTTGAATTAGTGACTTTTTGCTTTTGAATTAGTAAAATTTAACTAATTTAAAACCAAAAAATGAATCACTAATTCAAATTAGTTAAAATTTTTATATTTAGAGTTTTATTTTTTTTTTATATATATATTATGCAAATACTTTTTAAATAGCAATAATTAAATGAAAAATAAATATATTAAAAAAAAAAAAATAAAAAATAAATAACAGAAAAAAGTTAATAAATAAAAATAAAATTTCAATAAAAGAAGATATTGCCAACCTGTTTTTTTTATGAAGAATTAAGTAACAGGGTTTTCTTGAAAAATCTCGAGATGAAATCACTGAATTTTAATTTTTTTTTTTTTTTTTTTTTTTTTTTTAATAATAAAGAGCGCGACTTTTTTTTAGATCGAAGATCGAAATACGAATCTTCTTCTTTTATTATTATTTTGGGATGTTCCCCAACGTGCTTCAAGTCTGCCGGTGGCGATACAGTGATGAGACAGAAGCACCTATCAGCCCTTAAATACGTTCCGTTCATGGGGGCTGCCATGCGCGAACCACGGGGCGCCATAGGTTCTTTCTAGTAATGCATAATTGTCTACCATTAACGTCACTCAATTTTTTTTTTTTTTTTTCATTTTCAAATTTTGTTAACGCATTTTAGCATATATTTTGGAAATATTCTTACGTCATGCTTATATATACCTACAAAACGCCTTAGCGCATTTTAAGTAGCCGTATAACCCCTTAATTTATTTAAAAGACATTTGATTCGTCTATAAAATGACAAAAATTTTTATATTCGTTTTTTATGAAAATTATTATAACATGATATCTCGATAATATTGATCCAATAACATGCGGAATATTTCACTAAAAAAAAAGAAAAAAATAGGAATATTCCAAAAGTATTTTTAATATCTTGAAAAATAGTTTTTTGAAATAGAACAGAAATATTCATATTTCTTAAAATTATTTTTAATATATTCTTATATGGAATATTTTTTAGAATATTCCAAATGTTTTTCAAAATTATTAATTTTTCTCAAATATGATTCAATTTTTTTTCCTCCTAAAACTCATTACAATCAAAACTTTTCTAATTAAAAATTTGTATATGCTTAGAGTTAATACCCTCAAAGTTAATATGTCTTGAATTCTGAAATTGGAAATTAGACATTATTAGAAATTTTAATTACAAACTGAAATAATTAAACTTCAAGTTGTTGTTAATTATTTCGAATTGCAATTACTTAAATATAATATTCATTGTTTTTATTTTTTTATTTAAATCCAATATTTCTAAATCAAAAAAAAAAAATAAATTTAATATTTGCGATTATAATCTTTTTGATTTATTTTAACAATTTCCGGATAAAAAAATGGTAAGCTCTCTTTCTCTCTCTTTATTTATTTAAATATATTTAGATGGAGGGGGAAAATAGAACAATAAAACTGGAAAAAAGCACGAAACACAGTTTTTATGAATTTAAATTCCCTCCTACGAACATTTTTCTGACTTCTGTTCACCGTGACGTGCCGACAGTTTGTATAAACTTCAACCCCAAAAGATTCCTCCGGAGTAAAAATTTAATTAGCATATTTTTAATACATTTTTAAATGTTATCTTTTAATATAAACAAAATATTTTTCTTTTTTGCAGAAAGTACTTTTAAATATTATAAACAAAAAATTATATATTTTAAAGGGAGAGAAAATTTTGTGAAGGGAATTTTTTTTTTGATTTATAAAAATAAATTCAATTTTTCCAAATGAATATTATCCCTTGAAAAAATTAAATTTCAAAAAAGTTTAGAATACAGTAAAAAGTAGATAAACATGAAAATTGCAAGAGCTCCTGTTTCGTAAACGCGTACTGTCAGTATAAAGTACAAGCAACTGAAACCCGATAGAACGAATAAAAATTCCAGTTCCTAGACAATTTGAAAAGGCAAAGAGCAAATACCACTTCGTCCTTTATACAATTCAACCTTCTAAGTGCTGTTAACATTCTTTTCTTCGTAAAATATAACAAGAATTTAATAACATTTTCTCAATTTTATAAAAAAAAAAAAAAAAAATTATTAAATAAAAACTGTTTCTTTTTCTTTCTAAAATCTACTAAAAATATTCATCATATTTATACTCGTCAGAATATAGACAATGTCACATCTAAATGTATATGTAAATATTAAAATTCTTTAAATATATATTATTAAAAAAAAAAAAGAAATTTAGAAAAAAATTAGTCGAAACGTAAAACAAAATAATTCTTCTATTAAAGGGAATAAAAATTAAAATATTTAAATTCTCCTACAAATTTAATATTCTATGTAAAACTAAAAAGTTTTACAATTTTATAATTTACAAAAAAATTGTAATTAAAGAAAAATAATTTCTAAGGAAATTTTTATTTCCATTTATTCATTATTAATTAATTATTTATTTTTCATTCAATATTTATTATTCACTTTTAATTATTTTTTTTTATCAAAAACACATTTTTTTTTTATAAATTTATGAGAATAAATAAAATATACATTTTATTATAAAACAAAAGAGGAACAGTACTAAAAGAAAAAGAAAATTATACCCTTGTGGCAAATTTTAATTTCGATAAAACATTGTGTATACAGAAAATAGACAATAAAAGAGCAAAGAAATTATTTATTGAATAGAATAATAATTTATATTGAAATTAAAGCAATAGCTCATTTTCTATTGAAAATGTTTATTTTTTTTTTTATTTATTTTTTTTTTCGAAATTTATTTTTAATTATTACGTGACGCTTGGTAAATCGAAGCAATAAATTCTTAATATTTCTCATATGTCATACGTGATATATACGCGTTTGGTTTTTGCACAATATTCTCATCTCAATTCCTGACATGAATTCGTCCCTTTCTTTTCTTTATTCGCGATGAAGAACAAAAAAAAAAAAAAAAAAAAAAAACTTCTTCAGTAGTCATTTCTCTACAATTGATCAAAAAGTGGACATTGTCCAAGAGACAAAATTAAATTAAATATAATAATATTGAGAAATCCACTCAAACGTCAAATTTAATTATAGTGAATAATAATAATATTAATAATAAATAATTAATAATAATAAAAAATAATATTAATAATAATAGTATTAATAATACAAAATAATAAGTATTATCAACGTCATCAATAATTGGAGATTACTTAAAGTTAATTTAATAATATAGTCAATATTTGAACTAGCGCGCCCATATCTTTTTTCTCCAAAATAATAGAAAAATAGTAATTAATTAAAATAGTAGACAATTGAAATTAATTATTTTAATCGATAACCATCCCCTGGCTGTGTCGTCAGTTTTTTTTTTTTTTTTTTTTTTGAGCTAAAACTATTGTTATATATTGTTTCATTGGTTATACGAAAACAAGTGCGAAGGATTGCATTATTGTTTTTTCGTAAAATTAATTTTCTCCCTGAGATTGAAGTTTATGTTTATTTATTCTGAACAAATTGATTTCAAGTAAATGAATTAATATTTCATTATAAATTATTCAAATCAAAAGTTTTTTTTCGCGAACATTATTTTTTATTTTAATTTAATAAATATTATATTTCTCTATTTTAATCATATTTATTCACTGTTGGTTTTTTTTTTAAGTTTGCGAGGAAAAAGAAAAGAAAAAAAAATTGTAAAACTTTGTATTAATTTACACAATGGATAAAATAAATCAATCTAGATAAATATATATAATATTATTTTGTATTGCAAAAAAAATTGAATTAATTAAACATTTTTCTGCTTATAAACATTAATAAGAATTTATTCTAAAAATTCTCATAAATTAAGATCATTTGTGGGAATGTGTTGAAAAATATTTTCGTATTTAGTTTTCAAATATAAATATATAAAGCGCGCTACTATATGAAATTAAAAGTCAACCAAGAAAAATTCTACCACCAACGTAAAGTTCGTAAAAGTCTCTTTTGAAATCTATTTTATTAGATATTAAATTTAATTTCCTTTTTTATTAAATAAAATTAATTTTAAAAAATAATCTGTAGGCGATTGCCTTTTGCTGGTGGGACGATTTAAGCAGACTAATCAAAATCTTTTTACTTTTTCAATAATCAAGAATCTAAAAATAAAAAAAAAATTTGTTTATTATTATTTAAGATAAATTTTTTGCACGTGTAAAAAAATAAACATAAAAAAAAGAAAATTTACTGGAAAAAAAAGTAATGATAAAAAATATAAACTTCTTCTCAGATTTAATGAAGCTTTCGCAAATTCCATGTGCAGATAGAATTTATAAAACGAGTAAATATTTTCTCATCTTGAAATAAATTAAACCGGAAAAGAGCTTTGCACATTTGGTGACTTGTATATATATATATAAAAGAAAAAATAACACATTCGTAAAAAGTAGAAAGTGGCAAAAAAAAAAAAGAAGAATTTTTGAAAACCTTTTTCAGTATACGAGGACAGGAAAGGAATGATAAAAATTGTACGTCTTATTTTCAGTATCAGCGTTGCGTGAAATCCGCTGTCAAGCGCATTGAAAGAGTCTCGACTCCTCGGAGGCGTTGGATGGCGCAATTTCTATGAGAAAATCATTAAAATTCACGAGAGTTCGAAGTGTACATATAAACACTATTGCGTAGGTAATTCAATTTGTCAATGAATTAAACCAACATGGATAATATATATAAATTAGAATTCATCGTCCCTGGGAGCTTTTTGCTTGGTTTCCTAACAAATCATCTCGAAGCTTTTACTTTTTTTTTTTTTTTTTTTTTTTGCAATTTGTCTTTTAAAAAAAAAACTTTTCACCAAAATGAAATTTTGAATAAATGAGAATATTTTACAATGAAAATTTCTCTGAATCGAAAAATATATATATCAAAGTAAAAAATTTTCCTAAAAGGTTAATCTAATGAGTTTTTTTTTTTTTAAATTTAAGACTTAATTTTTTTTTTTTTTTTTTTTCATTGAAACTTTTCGAGGCTCTTCCCTTGATTTTCTTCTTCAAAATTAGGACTTTTTAAAAGTTGTATTCTTTGTAAAATAGTATCAGAGAATGAGAGACGAAGCAACAGGTGACTCATTCAGACGTGCTCGTATTTTCATGAGACCGCACAGTATAAAAGCAATTTTAAAAAAAGGGAATTTCTTCAATGTCAATTTTTCTTGTCTCAAAACTTTACACAAACTCTATTTTTTAAAATAATTTTCTCCATTTTTTTTTTTTTATTTCATTTCAAAAAAAAAAAAAAAAAAATACACGTTATTTACTTCTTTTTTATTTTCTTATACAATTAGTTTTTCTTTATTAATTTTTTTCTATTTTCTCCTTTCAAAAAAAAGCAGATTCATATTATCTTTTTTTCTTCTATAAATTTCGATTCTAATTATCAAACTTTTAATCAGATTTTTTCAACTTACAAAATCTGAATTTATCAAAAATAAAATTGCATTTGAATTTTTCTAAAAATCTAATAACTTTTCTAATTATTTTTCTATATTTTGACTATTAATTTCAAATTATACGAATTTGAAAAATGAATTAAAAAATAATGGAGATTATCGATGTTTCTCTTATTTTTTTTTTTTTCATTTTGAAATGTAATGAAAAAAAAAATTTTTTAAACAAACTTTTACACATAGTACGAATTTGACCTAGTAAGTTTGTCTCTCGAGTCCAGCCAAGTAGAAAATTAAGATCGGAACGCGGAACATGATCTTCTTGTCTCATAAGACAAAATTATATACTCTTCATTTTCCACATTCCATAAGGCGCCCTTCATATATTTTTATGAATTAAATAATTTTATTTTTTAAAACCCTGTCAATTGTCCAAATCTTGTCGATTCAAAAAATTCAATTAAAAATTCTTTTTCACTAAGAAGAATAATTATTTTAGAAAATAATATTTATCAATTTAAAATTTAATTGAAAAATATCTTTTTTTGAAATAAATTTTTTTTTTTTTTTTTTGTAAAAAAATACTTTTCAAAGTATGTGAAAAGAAAATCGATCGAATAACACGTTACATGTTACGTAAAATAAAAACATGAATATTACATTGTCTTATAATCTTTATACTAAAGTATATTATGTAACATAGTGATAATTATACTTTTAAAGTAACCGATACCATTACAAGATGACCAAAAAAATTTTTTTTTTTTTACTATTAACAACAATTTTAATCAGTAACTTAAAAATCATTTTTTTTTTTTTTTTTTTGTAAAAAGAAAGTATTCATTTCACACGACATACATATATCGAACTTTAGGAGGTGTCACTTCAAAGAAAGGTCATTTACCATGCAAGGCATGGAACCATATTCTATGTTTACCTAGCGAGAAATTATCGGAAACTACACTGATAATGTGATATGTCCTGATATCAATACTAATCATGAAAGTTTACCGTTATATTATAGAGATGCACCGGTTTGCGATATGAAAAGGAAATTAACTTCAAAAAGTAAAAAAAAAAATATATATATATATATTTAAACTAGAAAATACTTACGTAATCATTAAATATGAAATTTTTCTCTCAAAAAGAAAATTATTTTTCTTTTCTGTTATAATATTTAAATCCTTATTATATGTTATGACAGTTTTCATGCATACCAATGTCTTCATAATGCTCTTTTTGTTTATCGCTATTACATATTTACTTTTTCCTGAAAAATAAAAGTATACCTACATTATTTTTTTTTAAAAAAAAGACACTATAAAAATACATTATTTATAATAGCAAAGATTTTTAAATTGGCAAATACATTTTTTGTTAATTAAAAAGAAAAAACTGACACCCTTATATATTATTTTTTCTGATTCAATTGCATATCACTTGAAATGATTGATGCTTATTTAATAGAATTAATTATACTGTTTCATTTTCCATTAGGAGAAAAATAAAAGACATTTACTAATTGTTTACATAATGGAAAATTAATTACACAAATTAAAATCGAAGCATTTTAAAAATATTCGACTTTTCCTACACAGACGCACTTGAAAAAAGTGTGGGAGGAAATTTCAAATTTCATTTCCTCATATAATATTATACATTAAATATAAAATCAACATCGCAAATATTTTTATAGATTTTTTTTTTCTCCGCTTATTTATTTATCTAAAACCACTTTCTGTGCGAGATAAATGCGGATCGTTAAAGAAGAGGAAATGAATTTTTAAAATACGGAAGATATGTATTCGAACCGCACGCAAAGTTTCTCTAAATTAAGAAAAATTTTCTTTTATACCTTCTTTAATTTCTTTTTTTTTTTTAATATTAAACGAAAAAAAAACCGAAAACCTCTTCGGGAAACGTAATTCAAAAATATTTCAATTAAAGAAATTTGAAAAAAGTTTCGAAAAAATTGTTTTTATTTTTTAGAAACTTTTTTCTTTATTCAAAGATCCACATTTTGTACAGAGTTCAATGAATGAAATTTATGAAAAGTAGTAATTTGAAAAATGAATCTTCTTTTTATATTTGAAATAAAATATTATAAATAACGATTGAATATTGTTAATATATATTCACATGTGTTCATAAATATATATAGAAGATATTTGATAAGATATATAATATTAAGGAGGATGGATGCATGTCATGAAGTGTTGAAAAATGCAATATAACATTCAGAGTATATATATATACTGGCAAGTTGATCGAAGTCAGTTTATCGCATCGATAATATAAGCTGAGCACGTCAAGCATGTGCTGTCGATGGAACGAGAGCGTAGAGAAATTACAGAGAATGACTTACGTCGAAGGAAACAGCTTGATCCGTTGCAAAATCTAATTTTTAACATCCTTCTATACTTCAATGGGACAGAGAGAGAGTCTCGGATATGGAACTAGCAAGAAATCTTATTAACCACGTCCTAGAATAATGTTGCCTTCAAAATTGTTGATTCTTTCCATAATACAAAACATCTCCATCTTTATCTGCAAAAAAAAAAAAAAATACATATAATATTTATTTATTTCCCCATTGCCAGGAAATAAAATTTCTCCTTTTTATTTCATCTTTTTTTATATACTAGTGCATCCATTTAAAATGAAAAATAATATTATTTAATTTTAAATATAATTTTATTCTAAATTTCAATATCGTAATTTATTATTATTTATTTTGCTCCATTACAATTTTTGTTGCATATCGAATTTTGCAAATTATTTATCATTTATAAAAAAAATTATGGGTCAGTCAATTATATTTCGCATATAGTCGTTGCGACATATTTAATTTAATGACTTTTTCATGTCATGTCCTTAGAAAGGATCAATGTTTAAAATAATTTGATTTGTTTCGAGACTTTTTCGATAATTTCCATTCGACTTTTTCATTTCATGTATTTTTTTTTAGAAAAAATCATCCACAGTTACCTGCATATATATATATAAAAATAAGTTTCAAAATTAAAAAGAAAAATAAAAACCTTGTTCTTAAATTGTAAAATAAATTATTGTATGAATATAAAGAAGACATTTAAAAGTCAATTGAATCAAGAATTAAATAAAACACGATTTTTTACAAATCACGATGGTGTTTATCTAATTATTATTTTGCACGTGCCATTTTCATTTAAAATGAATTATTTGGTATAATTTTCTTAAAGTTATTCATATAATACTAATCCAATTAAACAAAAAAAAGTACTAAAAGGTAAAAAAAATATGGAAGCCAATAGATAAAAATAATAATTATATATAATAAATACTTTTTTTTAAGAAATAATGATATTTTATTTGAATATTAAATAATGCATATTGAAATCTTGTGCCTACTTTTTGCGTCAATAAAATACTGGCGTTTTATAATAATGGCCTTTGATTTTTTTCCACATTAGAGTAAAATACAACTAAATAATTTCCTTCTTTGGATTAATCTTTAATAAAATCGACTTACTCTTTAAAAAAAAAAAAACTAACGTTTATATTTTCATCCATAATGCATTATCTAATTAATTCACTTTGTCAGAAAATAAAAATTTTCATTAATATACAGTAAAAAAAAATTTTTTGTATCACAATAAATTAAATTAAAATTAAAATTTCTAGCGAGATGAAATTAAATTATAAACGAACCAAATTAAGTTTACACAAAATATTTAATTGAATTTCACTAAATTATTTGCCATTTCAAAAATTAAATAATTGAAAATTTTGAATATCGCGTTCAGTGACGAAAAAATATGTCACATGCCCTGAAAATGCTTTCATTATGGACATTAATTTGCATTTTTATATAAAACGAAAACAAAGTTCCAAGAAAGAAAAAAAACAGTTCTTTTATTTTTCGTGATACTCAATTTTATTTTATTTTCCATTTGAATTTGAAAAATATTTATTATGTAACTAGTTCAAAAAATTTAAAAATTATAAAAATCTTTATTAACTATAAAAATTTATTCTAATATTATTAAGGTCAAGTTGAATCTTAATTCTCAATATTATGCATAAATAAAAAAAAAAAATTATCTAATACTTTTTCCTAACATTCTGACAATGAATTTTCAAGTGCAGATAATAATAATAAAAAAAAGGAAAAGAAGAGGAAAAGTCTACGATTCTACTGGTCAATGCGCTTGAGTGTTTGTCGTCCGGGTCGTAATTAAATCAGTGACCATAGGTTTATGGTCAAAGATCACTCAGGAAATCAGTCTGTCACGTGACAATTGATTTTACATATCTTGGGACAATCACGATGTCGATACCAATATTCTTTAGGATTTCGTTACAAGTTCCGAAGGGAGCTAGCTCGTATTAAATTTTGGTCCAAATTTTCAAAAATAAAACGTCTTATTAATTTTACTTGTTTGTTTATATAATAGAAAAATAAAAAAAAATATATATATATATTATATTTTTACTAAAACAGTTGGTGAAGATTTTTTTTTTTTTTTTTTAAATCTACAAAACAGAAATTTTTTGTTTTTACGAAAACAATTAAGGATTCTGGAGAAACAGTGATTTGAATGGACCCCTCTTTATGGACGAATAGGCGTTATCGTTATTTTACATTATAACGCCTACCTGTTTTATTTTTCCCATTTCTTTATTTTGCAACAAAAATTTTAAAAAATGTTGGAACAAGTGAATTTGGACATTTTGGAAAGTGAAATTGAAGATCCAGAAAAGGAGCGTGCACTACGAGCTCAAATTCATAAGAAGAGCGATGGAACTGGTATGTTTTTTTGGAAATTTAAATTTAAACAATCAGAAATTATCATAAAAATTGTTTTTTAAAATTCAAATTCGTTTTTGAAAGTTAATGTTTTTAAAGTGGATTAATTAATTGAATTAAAAGTCATTATTACGAATTATCAGATTTTTCTAAAAATAGGCCGCAACAATTTTCGTTTCTCTAATTTTAAAATTATAAATTTTTTTGTAAAAAATTTTTTTAATTTTTACTAATTTAATTTTTTTTTTTACTAAATAATAGGAATTTCTTCTAATATACATAATATTGAAATGAATACAACATAAAAATTGAAATGAATAAATTTTCTAATGAAATTAGAGTACGGAGATAAAGAAAGCAAGACTAGTAATTTATTTAATTTAAGAAGGAGTTGATTACGTGATAGGAGTAAGCAACTTCCTTACTGAATCGATAATTTTATTGAGAACCAAATGTAGAAAAAAAAACTTTTAACAAAGAAAATAAATTTTCAAATTTCACAAAAAATATTTTCACGTTCTGAATAAATTAATTTTAAAGTTTGTCTATAATAAATTCAATTATTTTTTGTTTCTTGCAATATCATTAAATTTTTCAAAGCAAATAGATATTGAAAAAGAAATATATGTCTTTCGATTTGTGAATATGGAAATATTTTAATGTACATTGCTTTATTTAAATAATGCAAGGCAACAAAAATAACTATATTTCACATTTCGAATAATAATTTTATCAGTTTGACCTAGATATACTAAAAAAATTCATTTCAACAATATATACAAAATATATTTATTTTTGTTTTTAATTAATGGAATAAAATGCAGCAAAGTCTAATTTTTTTGCAAATTTTTTAATTTTAAATATAATAAAAGGTTGCCTTCAATATTTTATTTTCATTATTTTATAATAATTATTTTTTATTACTGCAATTAATTCTTATTTGAATTAAGTTATTTCAGATTTGTTTATTTTTCTTTCATTATATTAATTGAATTAATTATTATTATATTAATTGAACATAATTATATTTGAAATGAAAAATTATTTTTTAACAGATTATATTTTAAATCAAAATCGATATCGCAGTCCCGTTTATGAAGAGGCTTTTAGAAGATCATTAGAAAATCCTGAAGAATTTTGGGCCGAGGTTGGAAAATGTATAGACTGGAGTAAACCGTGGGATAAAGTTTTAGATAATAGCAACGAACCATTTACAAAGTGGTAAAAAAAAAAAAAATTATTTTTGTTTTCTAAACTTTAAAAAAAAAGAACCAAATCAGAAAAATTAGTTTCTATAAAATAAAAGTCAATTTTTTGATACTTTAATGGAAGCAAATTTTTTGATATAATTTTTGCTTTTATCATCACAGGTATGTGGGAGGTGAAACGAATGCCTGTTATAATGCATTGGATCGTCACGTAAAAGCCGGACTAGGTGGAAAAACTGCTTTAATTCATGACAGTCCTTTAACGTCGTCAATTCGAAAAGTCACTTACAATGAACTTCTTGAAAAAACGTCCCTTTTGGCCGGTGCCCTTTCCGAAATAGGAGTAAAAAAAGGCGATTGCGTTCTCATTTATATGCCACTTATTCCCGAAACAGTTATTGCTATTCTAGCAACAGCAAGAATTGGTGCTATTCATTCAGTTGTTTTTGGCGGTAAGAATTTCTCTCTTTTTTTTCCCCCCCACATAAAAATCTATTTTTCATTTCTCCTAATAAAATATTAGTATTAATTTATTAAATTAAATATAAAAAAATTTTAATTAATATATGTATTTATAAAATATTTATAAACTTATTAATTACTTTCATTATTTATACATTATTATATGTTAATAATTAAATTAATATTCAATTTAGATAAGTGACGTGCCTAATTATTATTATTATTAACGTGTAAATTGTATTGTGTTACAATGTATTCAATGAGATTTTGTTGATTGAGATTTTTAATTAAATATCTATTGATTTATTGAATCCGGGAGAAACTTCTGGTACAAAATAAATGAATTCCAAGAATGCTTTATAATAGATTTCAAATGAAAATTGATTTAATTGTTTTTTTAAATTCAAGTTTTCAAGGTTGTGTTCTTTATAAAATAATAATTGTAAGACGTTTATAATAAACAATAATAATCACAATGGTAATCGATAATAAAACAAACTTAATGTTCATTCATTAATTTTCTGCCTGGCTGAAATTTTCAGTTTTGAATCTTTGAAGTTATTGTCTTGGTTTTCTTTTGTACCGAATGCACAGTTAAAAGAAAATCTTATTTTAAGATGAGTTTTAAAATCAGCGCTAGTAGTTATGAGTTTAAAAATTAATTAATTAGTTTTTTTTAATTGTACAAATAATTAATTAATTAGTTTTTTTTAATTGTACAAATAATTAATTAATAATGAGTCTTTTAATTGTTAAAGAAATTTTTTTAATTATACCTATTTTCTATTATTTTTTAATTTTAAAAGAACAGATAAAGAAACATTTATTAAAGTTTTCCTTAATTTTTATATGATTTTTAAATAATTAAACCTTTTGCAAATAATAAAAAAAAGAAAAATAAGTAGCTTAGAATTTATAGAATTGAGAAAAGTTAGGTACATAGCAAATTTAAAGAACCACCTGGTGCGAGGCGTGCGAAAAATCGAAATCGCTCACAACTATATATTTTATTTCACCTCCCCCCCCAACCCCTTTTTTTCCCTCAAAAACAGATTAAAAACCATACGAATAACTTCTTTGTTTGTCTTTTTAAAAATTTATCATATAATCCTCCCGCTTTTTCTAATACATATTTAAATTTAATAAATATTTAGAAGTCAGAGCTCGATAAGAAATTAATTTTACAATATCAAATATCATTAGAATAAAGTAATATTTAAAAAAATATATTTAATAAATAATGTGATAAGTAAATTTACATAAAAATTTTATTCTTAATTAAATGATATTCATTTTTTGTAATTATTATTTTTTTTTTAATTTAATTTATTTTAACAATTATTATATATTACTGCATATTGAAAATATATAAGTAAAATTTCTAAAGAAAAGAAAATACGAAAAATTATTTTATCTTTTAAATGTTGAGAATGTGAAAAAGGTAGGAAAAAAAAATGCCAAAGGAAAATGAACGCGAGACAGAGGGAGAAAATTTTGTGTGATTTACTTGGCCATAATGTAAATTGAATGTACTTTGCAATTTATCTTTTTCATTTTCAATTTAAAATAGCTTTAATCTTGTTTCTTTTACTTTTCACTTAAAAAAAAAAAAAAAAAATTCTTATTCATTTAGGATTAATTACGTTTCTTTTGCGTGTTAGCTTTTACTTTGTTCTCAATTAAAAAAACATATAAATAAATTCTTAAATTGATTCTAAAAAATGATCTATATTTTAAAAAACAGGTTTTGCTGCTAAAGAATTGGCAACTAGAATAGATCATGCCACGCCAAAAGTTATAATTGCTGCCAGTTGTGGTTTAGAGCCAACAAAAATTATCAAGTAGGTTTATTTTTTTCATTAACATTTAAATTATTACGAATATAATAAAAATAAATTAATTTAATTACTTTTTCAAAATGAAAAAATTCATAAAACATTTTTTTCTACGAAATTTGAAAAAAAATTTATGTACTTACAATTTGATAATAAAAGGTACACTGACATGTTGAATGAGGCATTGGATATTATTGTTACGCCAAAACCACAATGCATTGTCTATCAAAGGAGACACGTTTGGGAAGCTCCACTTTTTGAAAATCAATTTGATTGGGATGAATTATTGAGAAGAGCGAAACCACATCCTTGTGTACCAGTTGAAGCCAATCAACCTTTATACATTCTCTACACCTCGGGAACAACAGGTAGTGCTTTTCACTACAGTGTACCAAATCAATCTTTTGTTTATTCCTTCTGCAAATTTTTTTCCATATCCATATATATATATGTTTGGTCAACAAATTCCAAAATTAAATATCTGCAAACAGAATATGTGACTAATGAAAAGAGCAATAATTGAAATAAGCAATTAAAGAGAATGTATAGTTTTAATTGAAAATTGAAATTCCTCTCACTCTCAAAACAATGTTCACTTATTTTGCGACAAAATGATATAAAGATTGATTATTATTTACTTAAAATCAAACAATATTGCAACAGAAAAAAAAAACTTTTTTATATCTTATAATTGATAAAGAAAAAAATAATACACGTTTTTAAATCCTTCAACTTAAATTAAAATTTCTAATACATATTTAATTGTTTAGTTTAAGATAAAAATAATAATTTGAAAAATAATTTTTATTACAAAAAAAAAAAATGATTTCAATAATTATAAATACCTTTTAGATCAACCGAAAGGGATTCAGAGACCAATAGGAGGTCACATAGCGACCCTTTGTTGGTCAATGAAAACAGTTTATGGAATGGATAAAGACTCAACGTGGTGGGCTGCTTCAGATATGGGATGGGTTGTAGGTCATTCTTACATATGTTATGGTCCACTAATAAGTGGTGTAACTAGTGTCATGTATGAAGGAAAACCCGATAGGACACCTGATGCTGGTCAATATTTCAGGCAAGTACCAATTTCCCATCAAATATCCTCACATTCAACGTCTATTGTGAAAGATCTGTAAAAAAAACATCACATGAATTTAAAAAAAATCAAATTAAAGAAAATTAAAATAATTAATTTAACTAAATTAAATAAAATTTAAAAAGTTTAAAATAAATTAATTTTAAAAAAATATACTTTTTTTTAAAAAAAAATACTAAATTATTTTCAATTACAGAATCATTGATCAACATAAAGTAAATGCCCTATTCACTGTTCCAACTGCTTTGCGAATTATTCGACGTGCCGATCCAGAGATATTATTGGGTAAACGATATTCAACAAAGTCGTAAGTTGAAAAAATAGTAGAATTTTATATTTTAAATTTTAATAAAGAAAAATTTCATTAAATTACTATTTTAATTGGACTTTTACTAATTAAAACTGATTAAAATTTAAATTCAAAGTGAGCGACAGAAAGAGAAAAGGAGAATGTAGAATTGTCAGTAAAATTTTATTTATATAATTGAAATGAAATGTGAAAAAGTAAATATGGAAAAAATTCTTTCATAAATGAAATAAAAATTGACGAATAAAATAATAAATAATTATTTCTCTCTCATTTTTTTTTTTTTTTTGGTTTTCAGGCTAAAAGCAATTTTTGTTGCTGGTGAACATTGTGATTATGAAACAAAAGCGTGGGCGGAAAAAACTTTTAAAGTACCAATTCTTAATCATTGGTGGCAAACGGAAACTGGTCACGCTGTTACTTGCACTTGTTTAGGATTGGGTCAAACCACAAATCCTCCAAAGTACAGTACTGGAACGCCAATTCCTGGTTATAATGGTAATTACATTGAAAAAAAAATTTCTAATTATTTGTGAAATATAAAATAATTATTAAATTATATGAATTTTATTAATTAATAATTTATTAAAATAATTCGAATTACTAATTATTTAAATAAATTACTGTGTTAATATTTTTGTACTACTAATTCTCTTAGTTTTTAGAAATGATAATTATTCATACCATTTTTTTTTTGTTTATTCTTCGACAGTTCAAGTTTTACGAGACGATGGAAGTAGAGCAGGAGCCCACGAACTTGGAAGAATTGTCATAAAACTACCTTTACCACCAGGAGTTATGTCAACTCTTCATCTAGCACCCGAGAGGTTCAAAGAAGTTTATTTCTCAAAATATCCAGTGAGCGTTTTGCATTTTAAATCATAATATTTCTTTTTATACTTCCAATTTTTTTATTATTTCCATCTGAAAAAAATTTGAAATTTAATATTAATTATATTTAAAAATAATAAAAAAAAATTTTTTAAATAGAATTTTACATGAAATGTAATAACGTATTTAATTACATAAAGATTCAATTTACTAATCAATCAAGTTATATATCAAGAAATAATATATACTATAAATAATTTTGCGTAGGGTTATTACGATACCATGGACGCTGGTTATATTGATGAATTTGGATACGTTTACGTAACAGCAAGAGATGACGATATCATTAATGTGGCTGGACATCGATTATCTACATCCTCATTGGAAGATGTTATCCTTCGTCATCCTAATGTTGTCGAGGCGGCAGTAGTCGGCGTCCCGGAACATATGAAAGGAGAAATTCCCTTGTGTTTATATGTTATGAGAGATGGTAAATCCTTTTTTTTGCTTATTCTTTGTATTTTAAATATTTTCTTTATTCTCTCTTCTTAAAATTCCAATTCAAACCTAATTGAATAAATCAACATTATTTAGTAAAAAAAAGAAAAATATATATACATACATACACTTCTTTTTGCAGATTCTCAGAAAAATGAAGAAGAAATTAATCAAGAATTAGTTGCATCCGTTAGACGTCTCATAGGACCAATTGCCGCATTTAAAGTTGCTGCCGCTGTAAAAGCTTTACCCAGTACACGATCCGGAAAAATTTGCCGAAAATCAATTGCCAATTTAGCACGTTCGAAAATTGTAAAGGTAAATTTTACTTTTACTATTTTATTCCTTTAATGGAAAAAATGATTTTTAAATTTAATTTCCTGTTTTGTTTTCTAAAAAAAAAATAATTTTATTTAATTTCAAGAAATATTTATAATGTTTTCTTTCAATTCGATTTTCAATTTTCAGATTCCAAGCACAATTGAGGATCCAACAGTTTACAGAGAGATAAAACAAGTTTTGCAAAAACTAGGCTACGCTAAACAAGCACCTGATCCTCAATAATTTTAAATTATTATTTTAATTCATCATAGTTTGTTTTTTTTTTTATATACGAAAAACGAAATTACTAAAGAAATTTTATGCTTTAATGACAGAGTTCTGAAATACGAATATGATTTAATTGAAATTCGATAAATATCATGGTATTTAAATTAATTGATGTAATTGCAAAATTGAATCATTTTTTAAAATCAAACAAACAATTGTTTTAACAATAATTTACAGTTTTAAAGAAAATTTGGTGATAGGGAAAAATTCAAAATTTTATATAGTTAATAAGAAAATTCAGTAGAGCTGAAAATAATAATGTTAAATAATAAAGAATAATAATATAAATAATTTTAACACTATTTTTCTTTAATGATATATTATATAGTTATATTTTATAGGATTTACGAAAAACAATGAATTAAATTTTATTTTTGAATTATTTATTATATTTTAAACTACGATTTTATAGAGAATTGAAAGATATAATAATATCTCTGTACAAATTTGAGGAAAAAAATCGAAGTACAATATATAGTTTTAATAATATAAAAATGAAAAATAAAGAAACTATTTAAAAATATTTCCTACTTTTTCCTCTTTTTATTTTGCTTTTTACCAGAAATCTTTCCTTTTCTTTTCGGTAATTCCGATGTCATTTTCTCATCATCTGACATAACTACATCTTCAGTTAACTCAGATTTCAAATCTTTTGATTCACTCGCGTCCTTTGCTTTATCAGATGCCGGAACACTGAAGCCTGGAATCTGAAAAATTATTTATTATAATTATAGTAATAAATATAATTTCTAATATTGTTAATGTTATTTGACAATAAATTATTTAATAAATAAATAATTTTAAAAAAAGAATAAATTTACCGCGCGAAAATTCGAAATACATTACAGATAAATGTTTTCCTTTTCATTTTATTTTGATATACATATCAAGATGTAAAAAAGTAAATAGTAAAATTTTTTTTACCTCTGGTTTAACGAGTTTAAAAACAAGTTTTTCACGTTGTACATTAGATCTGTCGAGACTCAATTGAACTGTCACACGATCAAACGAGCGAAAAACAATATTTCCAAATGTTTGAGTATGCTCCATTTCGTCGTATGTAAAATTAACAGGATTTTCTTCGCCTTTCTTACTTAAATAAAGCGTTCCTTCTAATCCAAATTTAGGAATTAAAATTTGCAAAGCATTCTTTCGTACAAAAAGAATGTATCCATCTTCATCTTGAATTTTGCCCCTAAAGAATAGCTGTAAAAAAAAGAAAAAAATTTAATAATACAATTAAAAAAAAAAAAATTTTGCCTTTTAATTAATTACTTTTCACGAAATTTTTTATTAATTTCTTACTATTTTTTGTCCATAAAGTTTTCAATTTGGATAAAATTGATTGATAAAATATAAAATTTCAATTAATTTGTCACATTTAATAATTAATTTCGAAAATTATACGTACATGAGTGTTAAGTGCAACAGACGCCCTTCCAGCGTATTGAGCCATTCTATTTCGATAATTTAAATTATGGCATAGTTTATGATTAGTTTTTTTATCCAATAAATCCGGATACGTTGCGTCGGCACCTGTACAAACTGCCAATAATCGGTGGACAATTACGTCAGCATATCTGTAAATAAAAAAAGAACATCCACGTTTATATTTTTAATTTGCAAACAAATTAAATTAAATTCACATTTTGATTCAAACCTTCGAATTGGTGATGTGAAATGAGTGTAAATTGGACAGGCCAATCCATAATGAAAATATTCCGAAGGTTGAAGCATTCCACTTGTAAAATAAACAGCCTGCATCATGCATCTAGTTGCTAATATTTTCAACATTGTATTAAAGTAAGGATTATCATTTTTATGCGCCGATTCTAAAGATAGAGCCAATTCTTTTCCTGTGTTCGTATTAATTACAAAACCCTGTACAAAAAATTACATAAAATTATTATAAATGAAAGAATTTTTAAGAAAATAAATTTTAAAAAAAAAAAAAAATAAACAAACTTGATGTTTTCCTGCTTTAATCAAAGGATCAAAATTCGATTGAGGTGGTTCCGGATGTCGTCGCAACATAGCGCACTCCGGAAATTCTTGAAGGATTTTCGTGGCAACTGATATATTTGCCAGTAACATGAATTCTTCGACCATGGAATTTGTTTCTCGTATTTTTTTCGCCTCCACGTCAATTGGATCATGCGTTTCACTATCAACTTGAAAACGAATTTCCGGTGAAGCCAAAACTAATGCTCTGAAAATTTTAAATTTTATATATATAATTTTTTTAAATAAATTGAAAATTATTTTTCTTCTTATTAATCAAATTTTTAAATAATTTACCCATTTGTTAAACGTTGGGCTTTTAATTTTTTTGCAAGATTATTAAGACCTCTTAAAGATTGTGCAAGAGCGTCTTGTTGATTTTGATCATCAATTTTTATTTGTGCTTCCTCATAAGTCATAGCACTTCTAGAGCGTATGATAGATTTACAAAAATCTGTTTTAATAATATTAGCATCGTGATCTATTTCCCAGATACAAGAGAATGCAAATCGTTCTTCACCTCCTCGTAATGAGCATAAATTTGAACTTAATAATTCTGTTGATAAAAAAAAAAAAAATTGTACATTATTTTATTATTTTTGGAAAAATGTTATTTGAGAGAGATAAAAAAAAATTACCTGGAACCATGTCGATTCTTTTGTCCACAAGATAAACTGTCGTTGCACGTAAAGCAGCTTCTTTATCAATTGCAGTTCCAGGTCTAATAAAATGCGAGACGTCCGCTATGTGTACACCAACTTCGAGATTACCATTCGGCAAGTCTCGACAGTGAAGAGCATCGTCAATATCTGTACATCCAGGTGGATCAACGGAACAAACATCCAAATGTCTCAAATCTGTCCTTTGAGCAACGTCCTAATTCAACATTTTCAAAATTGTTAGTAAAAAATTTTAATTTTCTAAAAAAAAACAACTATTTATCCTGTACTCACATTTTCGGTGATAATCCACGGCAACTTTGGCAAGAAACTAAGAACAGCGTCAGAAAATCGGCTATGAGGAACGTCATGCTCGAGAAGTAATACTTCATTTTCAGTATCTTTGTCACCAATTGGTCCCAAGGCACGTACAAAATGACCACTCGGATATCTCGAATGACGAGGCCACGAATCTATTGCAACAATAATTCTTTCCTTGCTCAAAGTTTCATATTGTCTCGTTTCAATGCGAACTTTTGGTATTTTTTTCTCGGCAGGTACAAAAATGTGTCTTGTATTCTAGAAATAAAATAAAAAATTTTCACAAATTGACCAAAAAAAAAGGATTTTTAAAAATAAAATAAATTTTACATCTTTATTTGATGAAACTTGTAATATTCCACAATATTGTCTCCATTTTCGTCTAATAATACCAACAATAACACCAGTTGGTGTTTTTTCGATAATTTTTTTAGGAGTTTGTTCCATTAAAATTTTCTCATCCTCAAGAACATCGCCTGGATCTTCCTCCTCTTCGTCTTGAAGAACAATATCACTTGGTGCTGACCATTTATCCTCAGGTAATAATTCAATGGCAACAATATCACCATCGACTGCTCGATTTAAACTAGATCTTCCTTGCACTAGTATCTAAAAATTATACATAAATTTTATTTATTTATTTACATATTTTTTTAATAATCATCAGATATAAAAATTAGTTTATTTTATTTACTTACAAATTGTTCCATGCCTTCAACATTCACTGATCCTTCGAGAAAATTTTCCCTAGACGCCAAAAATGTTCCCTGCATAAATTTACCACTTTTTATTCCATCGTGCAATTGTGAAGGAGGAAGATGACATGGAAATAATGGTTCTCGAGATTCACCATCAACATCATAACTTTTTCGACTCAATTTATCCAATAAAAATCCTGGATTTTCCAACGATGATATATAATCTTGCACTGTAAATGCAAGAAAAAAACATTACACAATAATAATAAAAATAAACTATAATATTAGAAAAAAAAAAAATAATTTTCATTTACTTGAAGCAACGGGAATTGAATCTGAAATTGCTTTTTCTCTATTTTGAACATCATCAGTTAAAAGAACAACTCGAATTGGAATATCTTGAATTTTTAAATGCTCGTTAAACCATTTTGTTGCTACTCTAATAGCACGATCATTTCTGTCATTAACTTTTTCTCCAGGATTCCTTTCTACATAAGTGTCTCTATTTTTTTTTTAAAAAAAAAGAAAACAACTGTAAATTTCAAGAATAATTAAAAAATATTTTCAAACAAATGAAATAACTTACTTGTGATGTTCATTGACAAAGACATAAAAATTTCTCTTTGGATCAGAAATAATTTCTTTTAATTTAGTATGAACATTAGAGCTTCTATGTCGTACTTCTTCCAAAACTGTTTGTAAAATTATTACATTACATAGTAAATCTTCTTCAAAAACATTTATCTAAAAATATAAATCATAATCAGTAAATTATACAGCTATTTAATAAAAATCCTGTTTATTTATTTAAAAAGAAAAATTAATGCAAAGTAAACATTCAAATTATTTAAAAAAATTATTTAAAAACAAATTTACATATACAAATACTTGCCTGATCGAGAACAACATTTGTATCAAGTAATAAATAATGAAATTCAGGAAACAAAGAACTTTTAATTCCAGGATTCGTTTCGTCAAGAATATTATTTTGATTTTTGCATATTTTGCAAGCTTCTGATCCACACCAAACATCATCTCTGAGATAATGTTCTCTTACAACCTAAAAATATTTTATTTGATAAAATATAAATACACGAGAAAAATACATTGTTTTTTTTTTTAATAAAAGTACTTTTTTTTACCTTAAAAATACCCCCTCCTTTTGTCTTTCGGAAAAAAGTTTTTGTTGTCAACATTTTTGAAAAAATAAATAAACTTCTAATCAATCCAGTACATTTCTAACAAAAAACACGTGTTTGTAAAACACTTGTAAAACAACTGTAAACATAAGTCTGGCAACTCTAGTAGAGGGAACTTAAAAGGAGGAGTCACATTTTTAAGTAAAGATTGTTTCCAAAAAAGACCATACAACTGGAGCGCTACTATCGGAAAACATTAATTCCAAAATATTTTTCCTAAAAATAATAATTATTAAAAATTATTTAAATAATAAAATCACTATAAAATGAAATGTAAATTATTAATTTATTTTGAAAACTAGTGTCAATTTTTTAAATAAAATAAATAAAAAAATTTTTAATAAAAATTTATTTAATTTATTTAATTGTAATACTTACTTTTCTTTTTTTTAAATTAAATTGATTAAGTTTCACTAATTAAGAAGACTTATTGAAAAAGAAAATTATATTTGAAAAATTTTCTCAGATAAAACAGGAACAATTTTACCAACAGTACAAGCATATGTTATTATGAGAATTTTCCTATAGATGGTGATATAATACCGATTTTAAATTTTTCAATCCATTTTGATGGAAAATTTATTAAATAAAAAAAATATGAGATATTTAAACAATATCCACTAATATGTAACATAATTAATTATTACGTTTTTTTAAGTTCTTCATTATATAATATTGTATTACACATAATAATTAATTAATAATTAATTGTTATTATAATTTATAATTAATTGTTATTATAATTAATAATTAACTGATTATTTAATTAATTATTCAATTAATGATTTAATTAATTATATATATGAACAATTAAGAATTGTGTCTTTGAAAAATAAAAAAATCCTCAAATATTTACATTTTAATTAACAAAAAAAAAAAATTTTTTTTTTTTTATATAAATTAAAATGAAAATTTTTATTGTACACGCATTATAATATATAGGTCAGGAAAACAACTTTCTCTTTTAAACAATTTGAAATAGTACAATATTTTTCGCGAATTATTCTGCCCTCAATAATGGTCCACAATAGATTGGGTTGGGTCTTAATATACATAGTTCCCATGATCATAAGAATCTTACGAAATCGAAGAAGTCAAGGGCTTAAGATAAAAATGAAAATAAATTTCTTAAGATGAAGTCGTATATTAATGCCTCGTAATGATATTATACAAATTAGTAATGAGAAGATATATATACATATATATTTTAAAAGCATTCATTATAAGTACTTAGATTGTAAAATAAATAAATTATCGTTATTCAAATAAATCATTTGATTCAATTTTAAAAGCGTTAATTATTTTGAATTTATTTTATAAATTCTTATCATTCAATTTAATTGGTATTTTTTTTTTATTGTTTCCATTTTAATTTCTTTTTTTGTAAAATTAAATTTATTAAATTATTTATATATTAAATATTTATATAAAATATAATATATATATATATATATATAATTATATTATATTTTATATAAATTTTTTTTATAGATTAATTTATAAAATTTAATATTAACAAATTATCGCTCATTAAAAATTTATAATAATTTTATATTATTAATTTTTATTACGAACAATAAATCATTAAAAAAAATTGTATATAGTTGCAATTATTCGCGTAGACATTGTCTCCTTTGAGAACATAATTGATTGATTAGTTGACGTTTTAATGCTTACAATTAGGTGGAAAATAATCCTTGATGTTCGTAACTCATATGAGCGTGAAATTAAACAGAAACTGCGTATAGGATGTGCACAACATAATTATAATATTTGTCTCTATAAAGATTCTCATCTTCCTCTCCATTATATACGAAAAATCGATTTCTCTTCAAAAAGTTTATTAAAAAAAAAAAAAAAAAAAAAATCTCATTTATTTTCTTTTTTCTTAAGAAATAATCTACAAGGAATTTGCAATTTCTCGAAAATTTTATAATAGCAAGTATTTAATGTATTCTTAAAAGGTAATTTAAATTTTCTTACAGAAATTGTCAAGAGAGAAAGTCAGGTGTAAAATATCCAAAGATGTACTTACTCTGACACTTGACAATTAAAGTTTGCGGAAATAATTATATCTTTAAGAAAAATATCAAGAATTTTTGCAGATAAATAAATGAAAAAGAAAAAATTTAAGTTTCTTTTATTTAACTACGAGTCATTAAAGATCGAATAGAAATGACTTCATACAAAAAATATAAGAAGAAAGCAGAATCGCGCGAAACTTTTAAAATCACTAAAAAAATTATTTTACGCTATTTAATATTTAAATATTTAAAAAAAAAATGTTAATGGTGTTACAAATATTTCAAACTGTTATAAAATAAAAATATTTAATTATAATAAAAATAATAATTATTAAGTAAATATTATTATTATATTAAAATAGTATATATTATATATTTATTTATAAATAAATAATATATTTTAATAATATAATAATAATTGTAAAACGTTAGTAAATTATTAAAACTACTTAATGAACAATTTTCATTTTACAAAGACAAACAGTAAATTTCTCAATGTCTTATAAATGAGAGGGACAATAGTTTAGTAGTTTCGATATAAAATTAGCATAAATATGGGACATTGTGTTGTGATCTTCTGCGAAATCTAATATTAGAAATAGAGAATATTTCTCGCACTCAAGAGCCTATGAATTGCCTACTTTCATCACTTTTCTATTATTATAACTGTGGTTATAAAAATTTATTCAAAATTATTTTCAAATAGAAAATAAAATTTATATTATTATATACTATATTGACAAATTTCACACAGTAATTTTCATTTCTCTTTTTGTATACATAAAAAATAAATAATGCTCAAACAATAAAAATAGAGATAAGATTGAAGACAAAATAGCGTTACTCTTTTTCTCTCTCTCTCTCTCTCTATACTAAAAAGATTGACAAAAAAAAAAACATCTCTTTTCAAAGTTTGTAAAGAATAATTGTGCTCTCTCTGTCTCTATTCGTACATTGACTCTCAGTTCAGGGCTAGGCACACATTGAATAATATAGTATACTATCACATTCATAATGCGCGCGTAGTTTTACGCGTATAAAACTGGGACGAACCATTGTATGCGCACGATTCTAAACAATTGTGGGAAATGCTGTAAATAGCGAACTTCACTCTTCTTTCATATGTTTGACAACGAAAGGCATGACAATTCGTCCAAAAAAAAAAGAATATCTTTGAAACGTATAATTACTTTTTAAAAAATTCAAAAGAGGAAAAAAAACGAACAAAACTAAAATTATTTTATAAACCTCAAAAAAAAAAAATTCATCCAGAAATTAATTCTATTTTTTTATTAATCAAATTATTTATATTAAAAAAATATATTTACTAAAAAATTTATTAAAAAGAAATTAAATTTTAAGGGCAAAAGGTATATTAAAATTAAAAATAAAAACAATGTTTCCTTCTGTTCGACAATAATAATTATTATTGGAAAAAAAAAAATTAGTTTATAAATATGAAACGGGGACTTATATACATATAATGTAACGTAAATTGCGCTTTTTTTTATATATATAAACATATACAATATATTATCTGCAATGCAATATTCTTTGCTAAAAATAATTTATTAATTAATCTGTATTTTTTTTCCCTTATTATTATTAATGATTAGAATATAAAATAATATATATCTTTATTTTGTGACTATTCGTGTCAAGGCCACCGAAATTGGCCCCCTCATAGCCTCATCGCCTTTAACACACATTATTTTCATAGGGCCTAAAAATAACCCCCATTTAAAGGAGAAGAAGATTTTTTTTTTTTTTCTAAATTTCACACATTTTCAGACTTATGGACACTTTCATTCTAAAGGCATCTTGGATGAAGTAATTTTTTTTTTTACCAACAACGACCCTGTGGGTTTTGATATTACACAAGAAGAAGAAGAACGAAAATAAGAAGGAGGAAAAACGACAATGCCATATAGTAATTATCGATTGAATGATACTTGGAGATAATAGATTTTATTACAATGGCTATTGAAATAATTAACTTCATCTCAAATTAATAAATATTCAGACATAATTTTTCATAAGGTAGATAACAATTATTATAATAATAATAATCGATAAATTTAAAAAAAATACAAAATTTTCTAGAAAATAAAATTTAAAATCAAAATTAAAATAAAAAACTCAAAATATAATTAATAATTAATAGTTTAATATTAAAAATTTTTTTTTTAAATTTTTCAACTTTTTATTTTAGCTGTGAAAAAAATTTGGAGCATTGTTGGTAAAATAATTACTCGAACATGTGCACATAGATTGGCGTGCAATAAGGCCATATGAATATTATAACTAGATGCATTTATGTTTGCGCGGTTATGTTTACTAAATATTAAAGTGCATCCATCCACAAAAATCGAGCTAAGGCCATATATATATATGACATGAGGTATTACATTCTTAAATATTTTTTTCCTGATTTATATTTAAACAAAATTTTAATAACAAATTTCAAATATTCAAAAAAAAAAGAGATCGACCGTATAGAATAAATAGAAATTTTTTTTTCCTGAAAAATGCTTTTGTTTTAATCAAAATAAATTGAATCAATGCATTTAAAAGCATGTTTAAGAAAACAAAATACATTTTATTTGTAAATGCAAACAAAATATAAAGATATAGATTTTGTAATTATTTTAATTAATTTATAATAATAATAATTTCAATAATTATTATAATAATCGCAGCTTTGTTATTTATAAATCGATCCTAGAACAATATTGTCATACTAGACAGACTGAAATTATAATTAAAAAATGTATGAGACTTTGATTATTCGATAATAACGTGGACTTTATCCAATATGAGGAATGTGAGCCGTATAAATATATATAACTAATAAATCTAAATGCATCTTTTCCAATTATAAAAAATATATTCAATATTGACTTGTGAGCCATATAATTAATCGGTCGACCTCTTTTTTTTCACAATATATCTATAAAGTTCTGAACATTTATAATTTTTAAAATTAAGTAACCAATAATTTTTTATTTTCGAAACAAATATTTAATTGACTCAAATAATAATTATTATTAATTGTATTTTTATTTTCATTATTATTAAAAAAAAAATTTAATTTTATATTAAAAACAAAAAAAAAATTATTTCACGTTCAAAACTTTTTTTTTACAATATTTATTTTTTTTCACCTTTTATTGTATGCAAATTTAGCGCATTAATATAATAGGCATCAATTTCTAATACTTTTAATTGTGTGTAAAATGAAAGAAGCACACTTTCATGATTGATATCAATATCGCGTTTATATATCAAATCCATCGGATCATGTTACATTGGAATAATATAAAGATGTACATATAAATCAGAGAATGCAGATTTGACCCTTTCTCGCAAAAAAAAAAAAACTTATAACACATATACAGATATTGTACTTTTATATATATATATGAGAAAACATCCATCCAGATGTGTATTCATATCGAGATTCACGCGCATACTATTTATTATTTGATAATAATTTACATCGACATCTCGGCAAGGACATCATACTCAATGTTCTTAGAAGAATAAATCTATCGACCAATAAAATTCATTGTAAAAAATATTATAATACAATAATAACAAAATATTTATTTTAATAAAAAACTAAGTTATTTACCTTTTTCTTTCAATATTGTCAATATAAAACTAACATTACTATAAAATTTTATTTAAAAATATTTTTGATATTGGAAAAATATTCATAAAAAAAAAAATTAAGAGAATATTTAAATAATAAATTCAAAGATTTTAATAATAAACAAAGAATATTCTATTCAAATAAAAATAAGCGTTAATTATTTTTCCAACAAAATATGCCAAAATAAATAGGAATGCAACTTTTGTTGTAGATAATGATTGTGCAACTATATATTATTTCTTTTTATATACATTTCTTTGTAATTTCAAATACTACTTTTCTTTGGTTGTATAGCTAAATTCTACTTTTAAAATATATTTTAAAAGAAAGAAGAAAAAACGAAATAATCCGCGTGTCGAGAGTTTTTCTCAAAAGAGATAGCCTTTCTCTATATATATATATAAAGAGACTTTTGTCATTCCACTCGAGTAATTCGGTGACAATCTTTTCTTTTAAGAGAAACTCTATTTCATCATCACGACGAAGACGAGAAAGAGAAGATGCACTTGGTCATGAGAAAATATAAATAAAAACAACCAATCATAAATTTTTTTTTTGTACGATACTACACACAAGTATACCAGATCACCTCATACAACTCTTCTGGTCAATGACTCAATTGAATATTCTATACAAAATTTTTCCTGTTTAAGACAACTTAATACTAAAATTAATTGCAAAATTATTATTTAGTTACAAATAAACAAATTGCAAAATTATATATTATTTGTAAATAATGCCCTTTAATTAAAAAAAAAAAATTAAGAAAAAGGTAAATAATAAAAAAGGGCAAAATTTTTAATTATTTTCATTTTCAAATCTCGATTTTTAAAATAATTTTCATAAATTCATTTTTCTTTTATAGATGTCCTTGCCGAGATTTAAAAAAAGTATTACATCGAAATTAAAAAAAAAAAGCGAACACTTTTTTTGGATAACCTGACAAAATTTTTTTTGTTCTCACAAATACCATAGGGATGGGAAAATCGAGATCAATGGTGATTTTTATCCGAAAAGAGAATTTAATTAGGTCAAAGTCTAAATTGGCGGGAATATTTATTTGGTTATACCCCAAAAAAAAAATTTATTTCATTACTTGATTACTATCAAATATTTATGACTAAATAATTTTTGAAATTAATTGAATTAAATAAATTGTATTTGAATCAATAATTTCTATATTTTATAACAAATACCATTTTTAATTAATTCAAATAATAATTGATAAAAAATAATAATTATTTGTTACAAATAAATATATATATTTTGTTCTATGTAAGAAATTCATATTAATTAATTGGAAATTTACATAAAAATTTGAATATTTTCCCATTTCTATATTTACTTGTTCATGCTCTGAAACCGGAAGAAAAGTCAGGTGAATGATCTTAAACATTCTTAGACCGATCTAGAAATGACGATTAGTATAGTTTCGCTTTTAAAAGCCAAACAGAAAACTTGGCAAAGGGCCGTAACATGCGGCGCAACAGTCGTATACACACTATGAATAGTATATAGATGCCGTTTGTCCGTAAAAAGTAAGTTTCGCGTATCGACTTAGTAATTACAGTTAAGCTTTGACTCTACACATTCATCTAATCATGTTTAGATCATCGAGTACAAGATCCCCGCGCACTAGCACCGTCTTTCAGAATAAGATCTTTCTTTCAATTTTCTTTTTTTACACTAGAAAAACAATTTATTTGATTCAAACAAAATTATTTCATTCAAAAAAAGAATTATTTGATTCAAACAAAAGTATTTCATTCAAAAAGAATTATTTGCTCCAAATAACTCTTTAAACTCATTTTCAAATTTTTCTAAAAGATAGAATAAAGTTTTTTTGTAAAAGAAAAAATACTCCCATAGTGTGTTTTTTTTAAATCCACTGATGAGAATATTTTTTTTTTAAGACAATATTGTCAGGCTCAAAAGAAAATTAGACTCTTAACAATTATCTATGGCGATTAATACAGTAGTTAATTATAATTATTTTTTTTTTTTATATAATGGTCTACTTTTTGGCATGACATATAAATTATGACTACAACTGTGTTGACAATTTATTGTCTCTCAAAATAAACTTGTTTCTATCTTTGGTGCTAGTCGACAGATCTTTATGAGAAAAATCTCGCATCATATGGTATAAAACCATTCACTTAAAGAATATCCTTTTTTTAAATATTTATATATATATATATAGCACAATAAAAGCTAAATATTTTTCTACTTCATAAGGAAGACTAACAACACAGCTAAACATGTAGCCAACGAGAATCCAACACGATCAACACCAGCATGAATTGTCGGAAGTACAGGAGCACTGCCATCTTCATAGTATTGATAACTTTTCGCCATTGCATTTGACTTGATGATTCTAAAGTTGTCAACAGTGATATTATACATACTCGATACAATCATTTGTAATCTATTTGTGACACACCAAAGTTGACCCTTTTCATCAAATGCAAAAGTATCAGGCCACTGCAATAATGCATGATCCCTTGTAAATATTCTCTGACCAATTGCAAACGATGATTGTTGATAATTTGAATTAGCACGTTGTGTTGTATTCCAATAGGATACAGCATCATCGGCCAATAATCCAAAGTATAATACACCAGTTGCTGACATTGCAATACCATCACTTTGCGATCGTTTTCTTCCCAATTCTCTAACATAAGAATTAACATCTTCCGTTCTATTTCTAAGTACGGCAGCTGGTATTGAATAGAGATAAAATGACGATAGTGGCGCATAATAAACAATTCTCTCGCTGACACTTGCCGGTGAAAGGGCAATGCCATCCACGTGGAAGGGTCTGTTTATTTGTATACGATCAATGACAAATGGAATTGCTTCACGTTGTGCTCTCATTGATTGATGACGAACTTTCCACGATGTATTATTTTTCAATGAAAAAACAATAATTCCCGGATCTTGTTCACTTGTATCGGTGATATATGCATAACCACCATCCTCATGATCAAGGACAATATCATTTAAATAAACCGTTTGTCTATTAGCAACTTCCTCGGGAAATTCAAAACTCCTCAATACTTCACCATTATTTTCAAGATCAAGAATCACCAAACGCGGTGGACACTTTGATTGTGGATTTAATGTCATTGTATCAATTCTTCCTGAATCCAATACCCACATTCTTCCAAGGGGATCAATTTCCATACCCTGTACAAATTGTAATGCATCACAATCGCCAATTTCTTGCATATCCCAATTGGGAAATGGTTCCAATTTTGGATCAGTGATATTCACTCTAGCTGGTCCACTGTGTGTATAAATTTCCATTGTATCGGGAATTGCCGATGTAACAGCTAGGGTGACTGGCACCCCGGATTTAAATCTCGGTATCGATAGATATATCTTCTCTTTCCATAATTTAATACCAGATATTGCATTATTCCACGGTACATATTGAAATCGGGTAATTGCTTTCTCCTTAACCTCAACCGAAGGCCACGTGTAGTTTATATATTTCCACTGGAAGGTCACTCTGAAGCTGTCATGACATTGGACAACAGCGAATAACACCGCAAAAATCACAATTTGCCTCAACATTGTTGAGAAATTTTATTTGTTTTCTTTTTTTTTTTTTTTTAAATTTCCAATCACTTTTTAGAATATTTTGGATAATGGAACATTTGAAAAATCATCTAAGAAACAAATTCACGTGCAGTGGATAATAAACTATTTTTAAACTCCCGCGGAAATTGGCGAGTGCCAAGTGTGTTATTTAAATGTTGCTTGTATAGAATACAAGAATAACGAACTATAACGTAGGGCAATCGCGTTTTGACTGACGAAGACGCGGAACGTCGCCCAGAGAAACGTTGTCCCTCCGGCTCTTTTTACCCCTCCATAGATCTATCCCCGTAGCCCCACCTAAATGTCCCCCCCGTGACCGCGGATCTTTTACCTCCCTTCCAATTGCATCGCGGCATGGATTCACATTACTTAACACACATAATTTACTATCAAGAATGAGGATTATATATATATATATAATGCAAAAATGCAAATAAACTACAGAAAATATCACAAGGGAGACTAGATCAAGATGAGCCATTAATATAGCCTTTTGTATATACGGGGAAGTGGCCTTGATAAAATCACCTTGAGACATGTGTAAAGAGATGTAAAGAGTACACTCTTGATGCCCATTGAATATATGGAGAATCTTTTTTTTTTTTTTTTTTAATGCAATATTTAGTCTTTTGACAAAAGACTACAACGTACTGCTTTATGAGTAATTAGAATGTTGTTGAGTGGTTTAAAAGGTTTTTTAAATTGCTCTTTAGAAATAAATTCTAAAGAACGGGGAAAAAAGTCGAGTAAAAGTTTTCTAGAAAAATAAACATCGGACAAGGACATTTTTTTTTCTTTTGCCAATCTTTATAATATATTGCGACTTATGAAATAATTTCTTAGTGTTAAAATTTAGCAAATATTTTGTATACATTGAATCGTGTGAAATACAAAATATAAATTCCTTAAAATTTTGTCATTTTGTCATCGTGTAATTTAGAATTTAAATTAAATATTCTTTGGAGGGAAAAATTAATAGAGATTTATTTATAATTAGAATAAATTTAAAAAGAAATTTTATTCATTATTAGCGGTTTGGAAAATACTATAAGAGGACAACAGCTGAATAAACATCCCATAGAACTAACGACTGTTTCGAGATTAGGTTCAAAAGTTACTTTAAAGCATGAGGTATAAGGGTTAAAAATATTTCTATGTTGACTTTTAGTATACCAACTAGTGTTTTTCCATTTTAAACTCAAGTGATTTATCCCAGAACATTATTGAAAAATCACCAGGAGGCGCATAATTATTCCATTAAAAATTATGATAGTGAGAATTTTGATTTTAAAGAAATTTATTATATATTTTTTTTTTCAACCAACAGAGAAAGATTTTGGCGCAATTTTTTTTTAGGATAAATTAGTAATAATTAATTAATAAAATAATTTAAATTTGAATAAAAATATTAATATTGTCAGCAAAATTAGATATTTTTTACTAACGAAAATTTGTCGAAGGGCCTTGGAGGATTAAAAGTCATCCCTGAGCAAGTAAGGGGACAAACAGGATTTCTCTGAAAAACACGTTGTACAGAAAGCTTGGGGTTGAAACCCCTTTAAAAGTTGCCAACGAACTTTCTTTTCTTTCTTTGATTTTTATCAACATTGAGGGGGCAATGGAAGAAGAAAAAAACAATAATTGCCCATGGCGTGCACCACACACACACTCAGAAAATCAGGAGCAATTGAATTAACAAAATTGAATAACCGAATCTAAAGAATAGAAATAAAACAGGGTCAAACAGAATTGTTTTTTTTTGGGAACAAGGTCAGTTTTAAGAAAAAAAATTAAATAATTTTAATTATATTAATATTATTGCTAATATTAAATAATATATAAATAAATATAATTAAAATTGAATGATCCAAACAACGAATGGAATACAAATTAATTTCCTATAGAGAAACAAAAAATGACTACCACAGACGATAATGCAATAAATCGATTTAAGAGAAAAAAAAAAATGCAATTTGCAATTCTGCAAACATTGATGACAGACTTGATGTGTTCCTCCCCTTTCTCTTAAACGACCTTGAATCATTGAGGACAGAAGACAAGGGGGTGGGAGAAATAAAACATTGTGACATCAAGTTATATTGACTTGACGTGGGTATACGCACATATATACGACACACACATATATAAATTCTCATCTGGGCAATTATGGTGTTCTTACAACACAAATAGTGTCAATGAAAATTGTACATATGATTAAAGTAAAGAGAAAAAGAGAGAGATGTGTGCGTATTTCACAAAAGCTCAACGCAAATCTTATTAGGCAATGACTAATAACAAAATGCAAATTATATTCCTCGATGAGAGAAACGCGATTTAATATATAGATAGAAAAACACTACCCCGCAATTTCTTATCTTATATATACATATTTTCGCTTTTAGATTAATGATCTTTCATTTTGGAGATTACAATAAGTTGTCAAACTAAAAAAGTTTGTTTTAACAACAAATAGAATCTTAGATTAATTTGTGTTTTCAAAATTCAAAAATTATAAAATAAATTACGAATTATTTTTCACTAATATAAAGAGATAATTTTTCAAATTTAATTGATTTTCAATGAAGGAAAATTAATCATTATAGACTAGTTAAGATGATTTTCAAATGACGCTGTGGATTGCCTTGAAAAAAAAAATATATATATATTGCGGAACTCACGCCGGGGGACTTGTTGATTGTCACCTTTACCAATAAAGATTAAAAAAAAAGAAGAAGATAAAATCGTAAACTAGAAAATGCGTCGCTTAAAACGTAAGAGGCTTCTAAACGTGCAAAACATACGTATATACAACTAATATACCGCGCCCCATTCTGGAACGAGAGGAGGCTGCATGAGTATATTTTTGAAAGTTGCATCAATCTGTCGGTGATGCAACCATATTGCAGAAGTTCGAATAACAGTCTTCACTAGACAGATGCATGTTGCATAATTGCACACACACACGCATTTCAAATACTTATATATATATATATTTATGCATCCATATATTAAATTTTGTTTACTTGCAAAAATTATCGAATCTCCTGGCATTAGGCAAAAGAAGATTGTCATTCATCAAATATAGGGATGGATTTTACAAAAAAAAAACGAAAAGCTGCGCCCACACTGTCACATAAATTCTAATGCAAGAGGTTTATAATAACTATTTTGAAATAATGAATTATTACACAATTTTACGACTGTAAAGTTATTACATACGCGGAAATTTTCAATAAACTAGGCTAAATATATGTACAACCCTTGTCACCAATTTTGACAACTATTGTTGAGAACGAATTTTATACTCATTTTGAATTCTACAATCATAACTGATACTGTTTATGTTTACAAATTGTACGGAACACTTTTAAGTTTGAACATTCTAATCCAACACACTTATTTTCTTATCCTGAATTTGCGGTAGTGAGAAAAAAAAATGTCCATCAGAGATTTTTATTTACTCTTTGAAAATTCACTCATCCATAACAAAAAAAAAAACTAAAAATAATATCTTATTTTCCATTAAAAGTTGGGTTGGAACTTATTATTATTTTCTCAACTTTGTTTACCAAGAGAAAACTAATTTCTTTACAAATGGACCTTGAAATACGTTAATCTAGCTTATCGAGGCCGGCTAACGTTCATATAATAATAATAATAGGTATGCGAACCCCTTTTTCTATATTCAAAATAGAAAAATAGGATAAAAATTATTTATTCTGTATTAATTATTAATAAACAGAAATAAGGAAGTAATTATTTTCGAGGGAGAAATTGAATAAAAATCCACAATATTCGAAAAAGAGAAAAATATAAATAGAAAAAAAAAAAGAAAACTGTTCTATTGACCAAATTTAATGGACTATTTAATTGCGCACAAGTTATATATATATAAGGAAAGTATTGAACAGAATGCAAGATGAAATGTAAATCAAATACTTATTAACATTGCCAACAAGTCCTGACACTTGGTACGAATGGATTACTGCTTAGAACTATTTAGATACGTGTGAGAATGTCGGGTCAGAATTATTGGGGCCTCTTCTTCACGATGCTGTCACTCATTAGCTAATTGGTTGACGCACAAATGATCGTTAGACCTAATTAAGACCACTAAAATTTTATACGAATTCGGTATAGAAAGAAAAACTTATCTTTTCCCTTCATTCAAAAAAAAAAAAAATTATACTTTAATACAATTTCATAACAAAAATTCATTTCCAAAAATTTTAATTCAAAATTATAAAAATAGTTTCAAAAATATTTACTGTTTCATTTTCACGAGAGATATCATAAATATATAATGATTTCCAATTTTCGTCGCGGGAGCATTTTCTCAGAATGCGTGCCAGAATTGTTTGTAATTCCCGATTGTACTTTACGGATTTTAGTATAACGGTCACGTTAGCCTTCGCAAAAGAAGCGAGAGAAACAATTGTCAATGATTTCCGGATGAGTGAAACGTGCCTTTGTATTCTTTAAATTGCATATATATACAATAAAAAAAACACGTAACAAATAAAAATTGTTAAAGGAGAAAACTGTTTATCAAAACTTCTTTGTGAAAACAAATAAAAGAAAAATTTCTCAGTTATATATTATATAAAAAACAGAAACAGTCACGAACTCCCTCTATCAAGTTATGCTCTTCTTATATTAAATATATAAGACGCAATTGTCATGCGTGAATTATAATTTATTTTCTATATACGAATTATAAATAATTCAACGATGATTTGTCAACAATGTAATTGTATTATAAAAAAAAAATTAAGTAATAAACAATTAACAATTGGCAATTAACAACCATAGACAATGAGATGGAACTAGTATATCGAGAATTTCTGAACGGACACTTCGTTCCGTATCGTTGACAATAACAATTGGTGCCCTTGTCATATTTATCTCGATGCATTTTCATTCTCCTGATTAATACTAATTGTACACTGAGTAATGTGATGTCTTTAATGTCACAAACTCAATTATTCTTAAGTAAATGCCATACAAGATGATATCATATAAACAATATCCAAAAGTATATATATTTTTAACCCTTAATTTCACCTTCTTTTCAATAAATTATATAAGCAAATAGGAACTTCAAAAAAAGGTCAAAAAGTTAGACAATTAAATTAAGAGTAAGAAGAAGAAATCAATACCCTACATTTTTTTTAACTACATTATAAAGGTGTGGAGTAAGATGAAGTAAATGAAATGACAATGAGTAAGTAAAACTAAAAAAAACTAGTTTACTGAACTTGCGTGACATAATAAACGACA